TGATTGGTGGTGTTTCTGCTGCTGTTTCAAAGACTGCTGTTGCTCCAATTGAAAGAGTCAAATTGTTACTCTAAACCTAAGATGCAAATAAAAAAATCTAAGAAGGAGGAGCCAAGAAATACAATGGTATTGTTGATTGCTTCATCAGAGTCCCAAAAGAAGAAGTATATTATATAATAAAAATAAAAGGGTTTATCAGCTTTATGGAGAGGTAATTTGGCCAATGTCATCAGATATTTCCCAACTTAAGCATTGAACTTTGCCTTCAAAGATGCCTATAAGAAGCTTCTCTGTCCATTTGGTATTTATTATTTCAATATTATTAAGACCCAAGAAAGGAGAAATTCCTCTTTTTCTTAGGAAATATGGCTTCAGGTGGTGCAGCTGGTGCAACATCTTTGATAGTTGTTTATCCACTCGATTTTGCAAGAACAAGATTAGCTGCAGATATTGGTAAGAAGGCTGACAGACAATTTAATGGCTTAACAGATTGTTTGAGTAAAGTATATAAATCAGATGGATTCATCGGATTGTATAGAGGATTTGGAGTTTCAGTTTTGGGAATTGTAGTATATAGAGGAGTCTATTTTGGTACATATGACACAGCAAAGGGAACAATCTTTAAACATCCAATGATGGGAAACATTATTGCCAAATTCATTGTCGCCTAATTCATTACAGGAACAGCTGGTGTTATTTCTTATCCTTTAGATACAATCAGAAGAAGAATGATGATGCAATCTGGTAATCAATAATTATTTATCTATTTTATAGGAAGAGCAGATGTTCTTTATAAAAATACACTTGATTGTGCTGTCAAAATTGCTAAGAATGAAGGAACTAAAGCCTTCTTCAAAGGAGCCCTTTCAAATTTCTTCAGAGGAATCGGTGCATCACTTGTCTTAGTCCTCTATGATGAAATCTAATAATTTGTTGCCCCAGGATCCAAATCAGCAGGAGGTGAATGATCAATTAGTATTGTACATTCAACACACAATATAATAATAATATACATCTAACTAAACATATATATATATATATACATACATACTAAAAACATATTTATTAACCTTTCAAGTATTCATTATTTAGATTATGAAAATTTTTGATAATTATCTCACTTCTTTTTGATGCAATTAATTTCTTTTATTTTCAATTGAATTATGGCAATTTTAACAGTAGNTTTTATAGTTCTTTTTAATTTTGAGCAGACTTACAATCTTGTATATAGAATCTTGAATAAACTATTATCATTCTAAACTTGATAGAATTTTAACTTTGCTTAAATTAATGTAATTATTGTGAAAACATCATTCTTCTTTAGAAAGCAATATGATAACTGTTAGATCATAATTTCTCTCTTATTTTTAATCCAAAAAACTTACTTTTAATAATTATGAACCATTCTTTAATGGTTTATTTTAAGAATTAGCCATATTTCACTTGGTGTTTGAGTGAATATAGACTTAGTTAGGGTGGTGAAAGAAGTGGGGAGAGTGTTTGAAGGATGGAAAAGAAATTAGCTTTTAAAACAGGTTTTAATAAAAAGTAAGAAGAATAGTGTAATAAAATAGAAGGTATTAAAAGAATATTATATAATATATATTTATTTGTGATATATATAAGCACAAATTTGTTCCAAAAATTCAAAAAGATTTATTTTTTTCATATAAATGGCTGATTTCTTAAGAGATTTCTTGATTGGTGGTGTTTCTGCTGCTGTTTCAAAGACTGCTGTTGCTCCAATTGAAAGAGTCAAATTGTTACTCTAAACCTAAGATGCAAATAAAAAAATCTAAGAAGGAGGAGCCAAGAAATACAATGGTATTGTTGATTGCTTCATCAGAGTCCCAAAAGAAGAAGTATATTATATAATAAAAATAAAAGGGTTTATCAGCTTTATGGAGAGGTAATTTGGCCAATGTCATCAGATATTTCCCAACTTAAGCATTGAACTTTGCCTTCAAAGATGCCTATAAGAAGCTTCTCTGTCCATTTGGTATTTATTATTTCAATATTATTAAGACCCAAGAAAGGAGAAATTCCTCTTTTTCTTAGGAAATATGGCTTCAGGTGGTGCAGCTGGTGCAACATCTTTGATAGTTGTTTATCCACTCGATTTTGCAAGAACAAGATTAGCTGCAGATATTGGTAAGAAGGCTGACAGACAATTTAATGGCTTAACAGATTGTTTGAGTAAAGTATATAAATCAGATGGATTCATCGGATTGTATAGAGGATTTGGAGTTTCAGTTTTGGGAATTGTAGTATATAGAGGAGTCTATTTTGGTACATATGACACAGCAAAGGGAACAATCTTTAAACATCCAATGATGGGAAACATTATTGCCAAATTCATTGTCGCCTAATTCATTACAGGAACAGCTGGTGTTATTTCTTATCCTTTAGATACAATCAGAAGAAGAATGATGATGCAATCTGGTAATCAATAATTATTTATCTATTTTATAGGAAGAGCAGATGTTCTTTATAAAAATACACTTGATTGTGCTGTCAAAATTGCTAAGAATGAAGGAACTAAAGCCTTCTTCAAAGGAGCCCTTTCAAATTTCTTCAGAGGAATCGGTGCATCACTTGTCTTAGTCCTCTATGATGAAATCTAATAATTTGTTGCCCCAGGATCCAAATCAGCAGGAGGTGAATGATCAATTAGTATTGTACATTCAACACACAATATAATAATAATATACATCTAACTAAACATATATATATATATATACATACATACTAAAAACATATTTATTAACCTTTCAAGTATTCATTATTTAGATTATGAAAATTTTTGATAATTATCTCACTTCTTTTTGATGCAATTAATTTCTTTTATTTTCAATTGAATTATGGCAATTTTAACAGTAGATTAATTCTAAAATAAAATTTATTACATCGGAGAACAGATATAAATTTATGAATTGATTATTTGAACTCCAAAATCTTTAAGTTAAATGGATGGAATATTAAAATTAACTTTGAATTAATAGAAAATTTCGAATTCTAATAATTGTTTCAATATAAATGAAGTAACAATCATTTTGGAAATTAAAATATTATCACTCAACTTTTTATTATTCATTATTTTTCTTAACTGCAGAAACAATTTCTTTAGATATTGGAACAGTGAATGGAATAGAAATGGGTTACTGAAATGAAAATGCATTTTAATTTGGATTTTTTTGTATTTGAGGGGTAGTAAATTAGGGCTATTCTTGATTGGCTTATTATTTTTATTATGGAGGAGATTAAACAATTAATGGGAAGCTAGCAGGAACAGATCTAATAGGAGAATTTAAAGGTTGCCTTTTTGTGTCAGAATAATTATCTAAAACTTAGATTGATGTTCTTTATTTTGAAGGAGTATTAGTTGGTGACATAGCTTACAACTATTGTTGTATTTGGAAATAGGGAGTTATCGATTCTGTTAAAACTGAAGTAATTCTACCATACAGGTTTTATTCATATAGTAAAAGTTATTTAATGAAACCTGGATTTGGAGAGGCTATGGGTCTCTAATATTTAACATAAATTAAGGCTTATTCTAGATTAAGGTTTCTTTTTTTCATCAAATAGGAGACAACAATAGCTGTTGATCTTGATTTGCCAGCATGACAATGGACTAAAACATTAGTGTATTGTCTGGATGATTCTAAGTACGCATGAGCTTATTCAAAAAGTGGAGTCATATCAAAGAGAGGAGTGTCATGGCAATCTAATATTAGATTGTTGATCTCTGGACCATATTAAATTTCTTGAGTTAAAATGATGGATTACTAAATTCAGAACAAACTGAGAGAACGCATGTAATATTGTGTTAATTTAGTGCATTCATGTTGGTTGCAGTAATTATGGAACCTTGAAAAAGCCCTCCTCTTTTTTCGACTGGTTCTATGATGAAAGAAATATCGTAATTGTTAATCATAATAATAAATTATAAATAATAAAGAATTAGATTGAATATTTCTCGATCATCCAGTTTTGATGTAATAAATATAGTCGACTTCTTTATGGTAATAAAAATCTGAATCATTCATCTGCTTCCAAGAAAATGACCTGAAAAAGTTAAGTTTTTTTGCAGAATCCAAATCAATTTTCATTTTCTTTTTCAACAAAATACAATCACTCAAATAATCTTGTATCCATTAATAGATTATAGCGTCAATGATAATAAACTCNAAATTACATAATCAAATATCTCTCACTTTTTTATTTTTATTTGTTCTGAGTTTTGATTAGCAAGAAAAATTTTATTTCCAATAATAAAATTACAATATTCCAGATTCCTATTCAAATTGTCTTTGATATTAATAGATAGTTGTCAATTGTTGTTTTATCTTCAGATGTATAATTTATAATTTTTCTTTGCCATTCTTTAGAGATTTCCTTCGATTTCAAATGTAAAATTACAAAAACACCTTTTTGTAATTATTGACTACCTTGTCAAAAAATACTGTTTCTAAAATCGCTCTGACCTTCTAAGATAATTCTCCAAACATAAAGTTCAATAAAAAAAACTGAATAATCTTAGAGTATTGTTAGTATTGTTTGACTGTCTTGATGTTCAGCTTCTTTTTCGTAAAAATTTTTGTCTTTGATTCTCCTTAATTTAGCAGATTATCCTGGAGTTCTTTAATCTTCTCTGATGTTAGAGCACTATTGGAAAATTGCCTTATTAATTGACAATTTCAAACGAAAGGTAAGCTCATGTCATTATTTAATTAATGTATAAATAAAGTATAAAAGGAAAGCTAATAAAAACAAGAAATTTTCATCAATCAATAAGCAAAACAAATATTATAAACTTAGATATAGGAGCGATTAATTGAGTATGTAAATTCAATTAACTAGTAATATTTTATCGGCGATGTTAAGAACTATATTCAATAATTGATAATAGAGTTAATTCTTACTGCTTTTGAAGATGTTAATCCATTTGATAAATACAAATTACAATTTATTAATTATAAATATGATATATAAATTCATCATATTAATTAATTAGGGATGTTAGAATATGCCATAATATTTTCATTGTTAAAATCAACAAATTAATTCTAAAAAGCTAAAAACATGAAAAATACATTTGAGAAATTAAAGTTTGGTAATTCAGGCATAAAGTTGGGTTTTATTTAAGGCTTTATTGATTAGTGAACCCTTTTAATAGTGTAATGTATTTATTTGCGTCCTTTATTTAGCCCAAATGTTTTATATTCCTCATAGATTTTTAAAAGTAATTACTCAACCAATTAACATGCCTATTTGAGTTACAATTAATTTTACTCTCAAAAATAAATGATTGTGTTTGGATGACACACATAAGTGAAGAGGTTCTTATGATTCTCTTTTTTCAGGACCTTCTTTGTACCCTGAGCCTCTTCCTCTTAATCTGAGTTTAACAAGATCTTATTCTTTTGTATCACAATCTATCAAGCATTAATCAATGATTTTTTTCATATTGCATCCTTTGGCTCCTAGAATTGTTTGAGGAATAAACTACCTATGATTTTGCGAGCAACTTAAAATTCTTTATCATTATCAATTTAAACATCATAGCGACATGTAAATTTTTATTAATTAGAGTCCTGAATCTCCATGATTTCCAATAGATCTTACTAGGTAGTAAATTCAATTTTGATAGTAACATCCAACTCTTTTATTTAATGTTTGTTTAAAAGCTTATAAACAATAAAAGCATCAAAAAGAGAATTGAACCTAATTATTATTGCTCCATTAAGTTTGGTGTAGACTTATTTGACTTCTCCAAAATTTTCACAAACCTATAATTTGAATATAAAAATTTCGTTACTTATTTAATATCTTCTTAATCCAGCTCAATTTCATAATTGTCATCACTTGATAATTCCACAGTTAAATATTAATGCGGATATTGTCTACTCTATTTTTAGGATTACATAAATTACCTTCTGTTTCAACATAGCATTAACTCTCTATTTCACTTTATGATCATTGATGATAAGATTTATTTATTCGCGATTTGTAGGAGACGTATTTACTATGCTTTCATCGCTCTATTCTAACTATAAAGTTATTATGTATTCATACAAGAAAATTAGTCATTTCTTCTATTTGCTTAGAGATCTCTAAGAAACTCATTAATAAATTCGGTTAAAATAATATTATTTGTATTATTCATATCATCTCTACACATTTTAATTGTTTTATATATGGAATTCAAGTATATTTAGAACAGAAAGCCACTTGCAATTCACAATAATAAGAATGCAATTAAGTCTATAATATAAACAAACTCAATCTTTTCAAATTATATGCACTTTAGAAATCTTAATCCCTAGTTACAAAAAAATAATCAATCTCTTTATTACTTAAATTAATGAGGCAATCATCATAATTTCTAATGATATATTAATTAATACAATAAATAAAACAAATCCATTCTTCCTAATTTACCTGTTACTTAATTCATATAATATTTCTTGATTATGCTAGAAACATTCTTAAACATATCCAATTCAAGATTTCTATACTAATCACAGTTTTATGAATGCATTGTCTTATTCTGCAATCTTAAATATTGGTTTTCTATATATCCTTTTCTGTCTGCTCAATTTGGACTAAGAGCCATTCCCCTTCCTTTGCTTTGATTACTTTTTCATAATTTATAAAATGTAGATAGAATTTTATATTAAAATCAAATAAAATTAATTTCAATTAATCTATTTTCAAAAAATTTATAGCAACTCCAATAACATATTGATTGGAATTCATAAATCAAAATGATTTGCTCACACCAAAGAAACTCAAAGGATTTATCCTTAAATGGGATACGACTCTCTTATTAATTATGAGATGTTCAGTCTTGACTTCATTTTTTAATTCTATATTTCTTTACATTGCTACATAATCTAATCATCAAATTAACAAAGGATAAAGATGCAATTTTTTAAAACTTTTTAATAAGTTATTTTATTTAATTTCTAATAAAAGAGAAGAAATAATAATTTTTAGATTTCATTATCCAAAATTAAGTAATTACAAAATTTAATTTCATTCAAATTTTCTAATCGATAACTATTAAAAAAATGGGAGCAATGGGATTTAATTAGAGAGTACTCATATCCTTATTATTCTTAAATCATTCTTAGTTAACGTAAGTCCAAGTCAGCCTAGCTGCTTATAGTAATTATAAATTGAAGATAAAATAGAAGTAGGATTACAAATATTGTATAACTTAGTTTAAATGACTAACAAAAATATATAAATTGCCTCGTATTATATTTAACTTAAGAATGGATAAAAAAATAAAAATTAATATAAACCATTAATTATAATGTGCATTCGGATTTTGAATACATAAACAAATTAAATTCATTGGATCATATTTTTTTAAAGAATTTAAAATCAGATTTAGTGTGTTAATGTAATCTTATTGAAGATTTAACAGAATCAGTAATTTTAAATTATTTAGATATTGAAATACTGGTTTTGCATTTATTAGAATGTTAACTAAATTAGTAATTTATTACTATATACCTATTTGTATTAAAGATCTGGATTTATAAAGGAGATAACAATTTAGATAAGGCGTTTTCTTTGACTGTTCTTTGAGTAAAGGAGCCTATTTGTTTTGGTAGGGACTTGATATTAATTCTTGGTGAAGATTGAAATTAAGAAGGTTGTTAATATAGGGATTATTATTTGATTGATTTGTTTGTATTGATTGTTTACTAAGAAATTTATGTAGATTATTAAGTAATCATCTTTCTTGATAACACTTGTTTGATTGTTTTTTAGGATAATCCTATGGGCAATTTTAGAGATACTGAGTTAGGCGTTTAAATGATGTGCATCTTTTTATTTTATTTTTTTTCAGCAAGATATTTAAGAAACTTATCTAATTAATCTTATTCTCGATTGGAAGGCATTAATTAGAGATCTCCCACATTTAATTTAATGGAATTAAGTTTAGTTTGTATTTTATCAATTGTCCTTGACACTTCAGTAATATCAGTCAAGAAATTGCTATATTGTCTCCCAGATTTTTATGTAGCTGAGTCATCTGGTTCTTCCCCTACAATTTTCTTTTTAGGTTAATTTGGATTTGATTTGTTCTCTTTTTCAATCATTCTCTTAATTCTAAAATATTCAATCCTCCTTTTCTTATCGTGATAACTATAATAATTAAGCTCTTCTACTTACTTGCTCATTATGTCAGCCAACTTAAGTAGGAAGCATCTTGGAATCTCATTATGGTATTTATAATATTCAGTTAATAGTGTAAGTTTAGTAGCGATTTCATCTAATTTAATTGAAAAATGGATACGAGTATCGTATGTTCTTCTTAAATATTCACTTTGTTCGTTACAATTAGTCTCATAATGAAAATTAATCACATGTGGTAATCTAGCATTTTCGATATATTCATTTAAAGACTTTGTATAATAGTATGAGTCTTATTGAGAATATTTGTAAGCCAAACTTTGTTGAAGGTCTATCTTGGATAAGAAATTATTGCTCATTTATATATTTAATACAAAAATATAAAATTACACAAGTATTTCAGCATTATTATTGATTATCCTAAGATGCCAGTAAATCCCATTCAATAATTGTTTCGTCAATATTATCTATTCTATCTTGAAGTTAGTTATCCATAAAATTAGATAAGGAAACATATAAGGGACGAACAATAAATTTATAAAATCCTATTTCGGATTTCGACAACACAGACATCTAAAATTAAATGATGTTATACTTTATGTAAATCTTTCATAAAGGATTATTATGGCAGACCTAGTCTCCCTTCTTCTTCGTATTGTGATTGAAATTCTTAGTTAACTCTCAATGACCATTCTTTAGAGATTGGCCATTTTGCAGATCCTCCAGCAAAATCAGAGGTGTGAATAATCATTCCCGTTATAATTTTAGTATCTTTTTCATTATTTGCTTCAAAAAATTTCAATAAATTAAAGTGTTCAGCCTTATCAGTAAAGATAATGTTTTAAATGAATTTTTCTCTGAAAGATCGAAAGTCAATATTTTTCAAAAAGTTCATTCTCTCTCTCAGTAATAATTTGAGTGCTGTGGCTGCATGATATTGTTCTAATACATTTTTATCATGATATCTAATGGCCTTTTCGGATAAATTATTAATTTCAAAATAATTGGTTCTACCTGTGTGGCCAACATCATGACACAATCCACCTAATATAAGTGCCAGCTTGGTAGTTTAATCAATTATATCTTTGTACTGTTTTAGTGATAACATTTTATTCACGATAACATGACAACTATGCATTACATTAATTCCATGATTGTAATTATGGAAGGGATTTCTGCGTTTATCATATCTATATTCTAATTCGCTTAAAAATTCACACATCCTGTTCTTATCAATATCAAAGGTTTAAATAAAATTATTTCTTTAAAATATTTGATAGACTATTCTCTATTTCTCTATTGAATTACTTTCAATTTTAATTATATTAAATTCAAATGAATCGATTAAGCTCATATAAATGGGCTCAATCTCAAGACTTTCAGGATCCATTAGATTAATTTAAACATTTTCTATAAAACCATTCATCCTACTCTTCTTTCTCTTTATTAACACTTTTGGAGCTTACATTTATGAGGGCATGTAAAATGACAAAATAGTATCTTTAATTTCAGGGTTATTGTATTCAAGGTTAGTTAAATATTATGTAGCTTCTTATCTGAGTTTAATTTTCTTAGCTTCTAATTCTAAACTTCTTGTTTATAAGAAGCCTTCTGAAAAGATTATGGCAAATCCCTTAAATTTCTTGTTTCTTGCTTTCAAAAAGATCTCATATAGCTATTCATTCTATTGAATTATCCAATAATTTTCCAAGTGTTATTCTATTTCATGTAATAACTTGTCATTCTGAATTATCTGGTAATAATAACCTCTATGAATATATTATAATTGAAATTCACGACTCAGCGAAGGTGGAATTGGCCGTGATAAAAAAGCCAATTTGCCCTCCTTATCGAATTCTAACATGATTGAATCTTTGGATTTTATGAAATACTTGTAAAATGTAATTCTGTCGTAACTCAACTCTATGAATTTTAAATATTTGTTGTATAGATTTTAAATGGTCTTGTATATTTGTAGATCTTCCTTTTTATTTAGATTTAAACCAATGACAGTAATTTCTATTGGCAAAGCATCTTTGAATTGAATTTTAGCAAACTTGACTTGTTTGTTTGATGGAGAGGGATTGGTACTTTAGATGGAAGTACAAGATCCTTAGATTTCACTTTCAGCTTTTTCAATGTTGTACTTAGTCCTCAACAAATTGATGATTTGATTAATAAATAAATACTTGCTGCATCTGACAAATTCTACTCCCACATCCAAAATCATATTGCCAATTTAGATCGGGCTAAATTATTATACTCTCGATTAAATGATTGATTTAGAAATTAATTTAGTCAACATAAGAACTTCTTGAAAGCAATTATATTCCAAAGTGAGATTCAATAGACTATCTTTTTGTACCTTTTGATGATAAAAAAAGAATTCATCATGAACTCGTAATGTATAGGTTCTTCCGTATTGGGAAAACATCTCGAATAATTTAGATTAATTTTCAGTAAGCAAATTGATATTAGTTGTTATTGAGATTAAATCCTCTAGGTATTCATCGTGATTTAAAATGGCAAAAGTATGTTTTACTGATTCATAAATGCCATGCTATGGACTTATAAAAGTAAATTCATCACAATTAAGCAAGTTATTAACCAGATTAGAGGTTACTGATACAATGCTATCATTAATCAACAAAGAGTGAGTATTCAAAAACTGATTTTTTAGTTGCTTGTAATATGACTCAATATCATCTGCAATATTTGTTTCCTACAGCAATATTAACGATGGTTGAGGACTCTTACTCGGCAATTTACTAATAAACTATGTCAAAGACTTTAGATTGTCTTAAACTAATAATGTTAATGCATTGGATCTTGATTGGTACACTTCTACTAGGGCCTCTCTCAGTTGTTTGATGTAATTTAGTAATTCCTCTTCAGTTACTTTGCTTTCCTTTGAGAATACACTTCTTCTGCCAATTAAAGGACTGGATTCAGAGAGTAAGGATTTTCTTCTAATTCCAGGAGAATTGGCTATTTTTACAACTTAATGCTTGGCTTTCACATAATCAATCAAATGTTATCTAAAATTTTAGTTGTCCATATCTAATAATTGAAAGTCATAGTACCTTCGATCAAATATAATAACTCTTCATTATTAGAGTTGAATTCTGATTTGAGCCTATTCTTTTCTTTGAAATTGATTTCACCCTAATCACAGAGTTCTTGGACCATTTTATGAAAGTTGATGCAATTTCTGAGTGTCTAACTTATCTACATGGTTGCTTTCTTACTGATTATAAATTTAATTAATGGGTAAACATAAACAGCGATCTACTTCTGGATCGAGTAGTGATCGCAAAAAACATAAGAAAAAGCATCATCACACAAAGAAAGAAGTGAAGTAGGAACATGTGAAAAAGGAAGAATGTCAATAACCACAATAGTAAGAAATAATAAAAGAAAAACCATGTTTTGAAGCATCTGGAATATTAGCCTAATATGCAGAGAATGCATTGGGCAATGGCAAAGTCTTAAAGTTTACTATTCCTTTCGATGCTAAAATTCCAATAGCCAATTGGCAATTGTTCCCCTTCAAAGGAACACAATCATATCGTATATTTAAATATCAATTATAAAAGCTTCAATATCTCTAAAAGGGAAGTCAGTATTCTTGATTGGGAAGGACAAAGAGATCGTCGACATCTTCATTGAAAACATTTCTGTTTCTAAATAGCATTGTGTCATTTAATTTAGAGAAATAAAGAAGGTGAATAGTCAAGGAGAAGTGCTATCTTATATAAAACCATACGCCATGGATCTAGAAAGCACTAATGGAACTTATCTAAATGAACAGCAATTAGAACCTGCAAGGTATTACGAATTACTGGAAGAAGATGTACTGAGATTCGGAAAAAGCGATAGAGAATATGTACTTATAAAATCATGATGTTTATTATTATCAACTTATTCAAAATACACTATCCCATTCTGCATCCTTTGCACTTGCCAAAACTTTCTTCTACCCTTAAGTGTCTTTCTATATTTAATCAAATACAGAGATAGCTTTTTATTAAGCAGTCTATATCTAAGCTGGAGTCATGACCTTGTCCTTCCCTGGCAATAATGGAGCCTTCAAGCTCTTATTCAACAGTTTCTCCTAGAATAGAATTGTTAATCATCAATACCCAATCATAATCCTTAAACCAAACATGAGATTTCAAAGTAGAGTAAGATCCTCCTAATCTGACTTCTGGAATTTTGTTCATCAATTATTCTATAAAAGGTTTTGCAGATTTGTCAGACATGAAATGTGGATAACTGATTGGTTTCTTTATGATTTCCTTATAAATTTCAAATGGATCCTCAGCTTCTTCACCAAATGGCAATCCCCCACATATAAATTCATATACACACACTCCGACACTCCATAAGTCAGCAAAGTAACCATAGCCTTTTCCTGAAATGACTTCAGGAGCCATATAGTGAGGAGTTCCAATAATAGTAAATGTCTTAGTAGATTCTACATTATTATTATCTAAGTATACACTAATTTTTAAATGACTTAGCTGTTCCCATATCGATTAGTTTTAGATATCCTTTGTCATCAACCATAAGATTCTCTGGTTTAATATCTCTGTAAACTATGCTATGTTAAGTGTGTAAATATTCCATTTGCAATATCATCTGAGAAGCATAGAATTGAGCATCATACTTGCTTAACAATCCTAAGATAGTTGAATATATTACCTATGACTCTGATGGCATCAAATAATTCCATTCCTGCTATGTACTCAGTCAAAAAGTAAATATTTTCATTGTCCTTATATGATCTGTAGAATTTAAGAATGAATGGATTGTCCATCAATTCCAAAACAGCTTTTTCTTATTGGATATGTTTTTGTATTCCGAATTGCTGGACATGTGCCCTTGTGACATACTTGAGAGCAAATAAAGTGTCTAATTCTTTAAACTTACATAAATAAACAGATCCAAATTAACCTGAACCTAATTTATTTAAATATATTAAATTTTTGAATGGTTAACTCTTAATCTGCTCTTCATGAGCACTTGATTTTTCTTATTACTATGCCTTTCCTTATTGTATTTTTTCAACACTTCCTTATTACTTTCTAAAGGCTTCATAATCAACTATTGCTACATGTCCATCTGCTTCAACAGATACAGTCTTTAGGTGAGTAGTGCCTGACAATTTATCCTATAATGAATCCTCAAATAGAATTGATCCCTTAACAAATTTAACTTTATTTTCGTCAACGGCATCAACATCTAAAAGTATGACTAATTGTCCAACTTTATCTCCTTTCGATATAATTTTGGAACTGGCAGTAAACTTTCTTACTTACACACCTTCCAATAATTTATCCTAATAAGAGTGTGGAGTTTTGCTAAATAATTTGGATGAATTGAGAGCCCATTTACAAATGTTTTTATAAATGATAGTTTGAACCTAGTCTCCCAAGATCTATTAAATCATATCTTTTCCTAAGGCCAACACCTTGGTATCCTTTTAGACTGCTTTGATAGTCATCATTCTCACTTGATGCTCCTATTTAAGAGCTGACTCACCAAATGAATCACTAGGATTGAGCACTGATATTTGTTGTCCTTCCTTATTGAATACTCCACACTGTCCTTCCACTATGATATAAAATGAGCTCGCCTAATCTCCTTCGTTTACAATAATTTCATTAGCATTGAATTTCTAAGATATCAAAACTCCAGCCACTGCATCTTTTTACTCTCTTGTTAATTAATCTTAAGTTTTAATTTCAATTCATACTAAAGAATTTAACGCTTTCCAAATATTTGCGATTCTTCTCTTACTCACTTCTCATAATGGTTTCAACACTTTTTCTAAAAGTATGTCTGTCAATCCCCCAAAGGTAGCATTCTTCAACTGCCATGCAAGTAGCAGATCTAGGGGCATTGTACAATAACGCTAATTCACCAAATCCTTGTCCTGCATTTATCTCCTTACGAGGTACATTATCCACTAAAACATTAATCCTTCCTTTTTCCAAAATGAAAAATGAGCTTGCACCGTCCCCCTAACGAATGATTGTTTAGCCAACTGATAATTTGCAATAAAACATGCTATGGGCCAACTGCGTTCTTTGGTTAGTATACAAACAATTACAATTATGTTTCAGTCATTGAGCTAAATACAAAATGACCTTAAAAGCATTTTATGATGAATTTAATATCATCCAATGTTTGATTCCTTTGTTCAGGATGGTAAGTTTCAAAGATTTACCCCAAGCCACTTTCCTGGGTTGGCTTTATTGCAATATTACGTTTTGAGACTCTTCTGATCAATTGAGCTTAAGGTGGGACTGCTTATTATTATACATTCTTATCAATTCCAAACTCTTAAACAGACGACTTCTAATTCCAGTGGTTTTGATCCATAATAATAATTATAATTATTGTAAAAATATCTATTTATCATTTTGGATTTTGTTTTTATATTTAATTGCTTTGTTTACTTGAAATCATCAAAATTATAATTGCTAAAATTTATGTCATTTATTATTATAAGAAATCTTTAAATTTGTTTTCTTAGTGGATTTACTTAATAGAATCTTAAAAGAACTGTAGAATAACATTTTAATACACTCCATATGAACAGTAATCAGTTCCCAAGATATCGACAAAGTTTGTTTCTCAATTTATGAAATTGGAAACTAATCAAACAAAGAATTTGTACTTCAACAAAAATAAGGTTTAACTTACTTTGGAAAATAGCTGGATGTAAATATTGAAATCTCATACAGCAAATAAAATTAATACAAAAACCTCTCTAATGTAATCAATATTCAAAGGGATTTAGCTATTTAATAATGAGTACATTAAATCGATCAACTTATTATAACAATTACTTTGAATATATTGAATTTCAAAGTCAACGCTCATGAAAAGTTTTTTAATTTACTAAATTTTAAAACAAGTACAAAATAAAACCAAACCTTCCTATTTTCGAATTAAAAGTGATATCCATAAGATAATTGTTTTTTCAATCGAGAAAATAATTTCTATAAAGGAGAGATTAATTTGATTTAATTATAAGAATGTAATCAATTTGAATATATGAATGATTTATAGAAATAATAAGAAAATGCATTTATATAGAACAATGTATATGACATCGATATTTAAATAAATTCATTTCTTATATAATTAAAATGCATTAACAAATTCTGGAACGACTGAGTTTATTGTAGTATTTGAACGAATAAAAATTGTTTTATTTTTTATTTCAGACTCTCCTTTAAATTATCCAAGGTGCTTATAACTTTAGCAACAACTTTCATTGGAGTTATAGATTTCCATTTAGTAATAGTTCTTGATCTCACAAAGTTTTGAACATACAAAAAGGGATAGAACATAAATTTCCACATTCTTCTAAGAAGTATATTAGTTTCCCGTCCAAAAACATTTATTTTACATTCACCATCACATCTTCAGCATTTTATTTATTTAATTAATAATCGAAGAATGGTTTGGTCTCAAAATCATCATATTTCTATTGATTAAACGACCTATTAGATTGGTTCCAATTATGATAATGCTTTCTTGCTGAAGTTGTCATTTTCATTCATCTCTAAATTTCTTATTATTAATGATACAGATTAGTTATATTGTCTATCATATTAACATTGAAATCCTAGATTGCAACAACCATTTTATCTCGCTTTTTTTTAAATTTATAGTAGAATTAATCTCATTCTCATCATGTAAGTTATTTTAAAACCTACTGTCATATTCTTTGATTTCAACTACTAAAGGTATAGGTTTATCCTTATGATTCTTAGTACTTTTACCCAGTCCAAGATCACTTGATAGAATTGATTATTTTCTATATTATAAAGCATTCTTATTATTTTATTGTTCATTTCTGATGGGATCTTCCTTTAATCCATGTATTTGTTGATTACTCTCATTCTTCATACATACACCCAATACATAGCATTTTTTGGTACCATATCACCATACCCTTAACATAGTGACAACTGCAAAGTAGAGTGCCAACAAGTATTACTCTTCCCAATCCTTATCTTCAATATCGTTGAATTAAATCCAGGAGTCTTCCACTAGATTGCTACTAAAATAAAACCAGATGTAACTAAATAAGTGTAGGGATATAGAGGAAGGTCAAGATGAATTCAATAGGCCAAACAATTCTCTTTAAGAAATAGGGTATCTAATCACTCATTGCGGAGGTCTCATTTACTGTTATGTTATGCTAAGATGATCAGTAAAAATAAATTGGCATTTGTGTTCATATCAGGAATAACCATGAAAATGATTAAAGTCAAAGAAGTGGAAAAGTCAGTGAGAAATTCTTTTTGCAATTATTGAACTATTAAATCCCATTTATTTTTTATGGCATATCCATTAGTATAAGTTAGAAGGTTGTCCTCATATTTAATTCTGGGGATTTGGGACTATGCAAATATTTTGCTTCGAGACTCTTGGCACTCACTGTTCTGCTGCCCATTTGATGCAAGACCAAGGAATATTCCTTTTTGGTTTCTCGTAAACATGAACCCAAGTATTGTTATTCGAGGTCTTCATGTTGGACTGCTCTCAATTCCACTTCTATTCTGGAGATTTAACAATTATTTAATAAATCAATTCTTAAGTTGAGATGGCATGTTATTTTAAAAATGAAAAGAGGAATTGAGATGAAATAAACTATAATTTTATAATATATAAATGATAAGGGAGGAAGAAAAATTAAGTCGAGATGAACGGCGTCAGAGGAAATTCAATAACATCTTCAATATAATGAGCATTTATATTAAGTATCTCTTGGGGGATGAGGTGAACGAGGACGAACACAAGCAATTCCTGGAGTATAGCAAATTTAACATTTACAAAATTTAAGGAGATCAATCTGAACATTATAAAATGCCCGAATAGGATTACATACGGATGGTGATGAATGATCCAAGTCAATATTTGACAGAGAAAGACTATTGCATGGGGGATGTGGTGCTGCAATTCCCGAATCCGGATGAGATGGCATATGCAACAATTTCATATATAGAAGCCTAGGAGTTTCTATAATAGGGCATAGGAACTAGGTGTTCAATTGAATTCAAAACGGAGCAACTAGATTACGAAATACTTTCGATGGCGTTTTAATATGCTTATTCCTAGTTAGCGGATTCAAAATAGGATGATTTGGGTCCTAACAAATTGGCATACTCGAATCAATTCTCAACTCAAAATCTGATTGCTGCAATCAAGTTGTTCTTCAAGGAGGATGATCAATTAAATATACAGGGAGAGTATAATGAGTTTGTGGAGATGGTACGGAACAAAGTAATGAACAGTTTGAATAAAAACTTTAAGGTGAGCAAGAATAGAGAAAAAAGGAAGGGGTTCTCAACGATTCTGAAGAAGAAGATCTTAACGAGGGGAAAGTTCATCATTAAAACAGCTGGAGGTCTGCAACGTACTCATCACAAGGTTAAGGATTTCCATACTTTGATTCGTAACTTGATTCTATTGAGATTGAGTCAAAAGGGATTCAAGATGAGAACATTCGTCTCCTCAGATAACAAATCAATCTTTGCTGTTTTGTATTGTGCAGAAGCCAACATTTCTCTTGTTGCTCAACAAATCAAAATGAGAAAATTTCTCAATCTCGAATTTACTGACTTGTTATCACTTGAACCCATTGATCAGAATTACCGTCCCTTGAGGTTGAACAACCGTCTATGGAGAAACGATTTGGATGTCAATCAAAGTAGTTATTTCCAATACATCAAACCCAAGATCATCAATCTGCTCAAGAAGATTAATTTTAAGAAGATGGCCAAAGAATTGCACATCCAGAATCTCAATGACTAGATGTTTGATTACGGATAGCGCGATCTAATTGGAGATGAAGAAGGCCCCTCTGATGAATTGTGGGAAGCCTATTATGAATACTTGGTGTATTTGGAATAAAGAGTCACTGAAGCCAGAGAGAAGTTTTACTTTAAATTAGATTTTGCAGTCTTGATGAATCCTTCTATAGCCAAAAAGAAAGAAAAGAAAGCAGAAACTAAAATTGTCACCAAAGCTCAATTAAGGAGAGTGACCAAGAAAAATGACAAGAGCAATATTGATATCAATCAATTGATCGATTTGAATGACTAAGATCGAACCATTAAACAAGAACAATAGATCAAAAGGTATTTCTCTTATCAAAGAAAAAAGTTCATCCCCAAAACCACCAAGAAAAATTAAAATATCAAATAATACAATGAAAATCCCCTCATCATCTGTGATACCTATTCCAAAGATTTCAACTCCATCCTACTCAAGATCCTATAACATCTTGTCAGAGATAAATTGAATTTAGACATTAATGAAAAGGAAACCAATATCGAAGCCTACCTAAAGTAGATCCAACATTACTTCGATGACGAAGAAGATGCAGAAACCAATCTCAAGAAACTGGTAGATCCGAATGGAGACTCAGCCTAAAAGAAAATAATCGATTAACTATGTATCTAGATGAAGGAAATACCAGAGAAGGTGGGCCAGAAGCAATTCACATTAACCAGAGACAAAAATCCGGTCTATTACGATTCAATGAAATAATAACTGATTGAGTGTTTGTTCTTGACATTTATGGAAAAGGAGGAGGAGGTTTGGAAGGACTAGATCTAAGATGAATAACAGTAATTTCTGAATATGAAGAAAGTGTTCCATCTGAAATGGAATTAGATATGCACGAAATTCCTGAAGGAAAGACAAAGAGGATTGTTGGCTTAAGCATATGGCACAGCTATGAGAGATGGAATGCAGATCATAAATAATGCGAAGGGCAATTTGTTAAAATGCATTTGGGACTTTTCATTTGGAGAGTTGTATAACATAGCCATCTCGAGTGAGTATACTGTGTCAGGGAGGAGGTTCTCATATAAGAAAAAGAGTAGGATCAACACAATTTGGAAGAAATATCAAGTGAGTGAGAGTGGGAGGATATCAGTGTTTTCAATCATGGAGAGAATTAAGTTGGCCAATTATTTGGTCAATTAAGCCATAAACATCCCTTACATATTCAACAAATCCTATTTGGAACAGATATTCGGCTTAAATGACCAATATGAATTGAATGGGTTGAGTAATAAGCGATTCTTTTAGAGTGATCCTAAAGCATTCTCTTAGACTCTAAGTTCAGATGCTCAAGAATATATAAGATTGTTATAGGAGAAGTTTTTGATTGCCGAGAGTTTGTTTGTGAAACCGAAATTGCATAATTTGGAAGAGATTTGGAAGATGAAAATTGGGGAGATTTGGCATGTGCCATCAGATGAAGTAAGAGAATATTATGGGGAAAAGATTGCCCTGTATTTTACATTTCTAGGACATTATACAAAAAGTCTGTTGATTCCAGGAATCATTGGGTTGATTTGTACAATCATCCAGTCTTTAACTGAACCCAGAGTCTCCATTGTAATTGCAATGATGTTTGGAATATTGCATTCATCCTTTTTAACATTGATGTTGGGTTCTTGGAAATTGAAGGAGAAATAGATAGTGGCTCAATTTGCTTAGAATATCAAACAGGGAAATGAGTAATAAGAGTAGAGACCTGCCTTTTAGGGAGAGTACAGACGTGATCCTTGCAATGATGAAGCCAACACTCTATATTATCCAATGAGTAAGTTGCTTATTCATATGTTGAAGAATGGATTAATCTTGGGATTTGTGTTTAGTATATATATTGGGAGTGTGATAGGCTTATTTTATATGACTAAGTTCTTTTATGAGTATGATATTTTCACTAGTTTGGAGAGATTAAACTTTCTGAAATTGGAAGTTAGTATACCCTGTAGTATCAACGTGTTAATATTGAACATCTTTGAATACATCTATGAAAGATTAGCTGAGAGTATGACAGACTAGGAGAATCATCAAACAGTGGCAGATTTCGAGGCTAACTTTATCATTAAGAAATTCACTTTAATGTTGCTGTCCTACTTTGCTCCTATATTTATGATAGCATTTCTAAATTAGGAATTGGGCATTGATTGTGCCTATGGGGATTGCAATCTGAATGCCAAATACTTCTTCTCCAGTTTGTTCATCATATTGTTCGTGTTCAACATCAAGGAGGTGGTGACTCCAGTGATTAACAAATTATTTAATCGAACACAGGAGCAACCAGAAACAATCGATGAATATGGAATCATCAATTACTATGTGGAGTAGGAGTCCCAAAAGGATAGTTATTTCAAATCTGTAGATAGATACGGCACAGTGGATGATTACATGGAAATCATCATTCAATCTGGGTTGTTGGGATTGTTTGCGCCTTTATTCCCTGCTTCCATGTTCATAGGATTCGTTTGGAATGCTTTGGAAATGCAGACAGACAAGATCAAATTAATTAAGTATTCCCAAAGGCCAGTGCCTTTGGATGAACAGAGCATTGGTATTTGGAGTTTGCTTTTGGAGTTCTTAGCAAATTTCAGTATAATCTTCAATACAGGTGTTGTGTTTCTGATGGGGAAGTTGCATCCTGATCGAAATGGGCCTACTCCCCCATTGATTAAGGATGTGACTATGTTTTTGATCATCATTTTGATAGCATTTGCCTTGAGATTCATATTGGAAGGCTTGATTCCTGAGGCAACTTACGAGTTTATTTCGATCATGAAACGACAAACTTACCTCTTGAAATCTACCATTGAACATTTTAAGAAGAAGACAAGTAAGATGAAGAGATTAAAATCAGATAGAAACACTCTCTCGAGGTATGTATTGTTTAAACCCTATGGAACTATTTTGAAAGTGGAGAAGAAGTAGAAGTAGTTGAACTAGGAGGAGGACGATGACGACGATGATGATGAATCTTAGATAGAGATAGAATAGAAACAGAAGGAGGAGGACTCATAAAGGGAAGCAATGCCTGAAATCCTTTTGGTAAAGAGGAGACAAATAATATTGAGAAAGAACATTCATAATTTTGATTTCCCTTATAAAAAGTTTGAGATTGCTCATGCTTAAAAGGAATTCGATGACAAGATAGCGAGACTAAAGAAATTGCTAAGGTTCTTTGAGAAGTATTACACACTCAAATGGTGTGAGTAGAGATTACTTTATAGGAGGTTGTATCAAAGAAGAAGATACATATTGTATAAGTATTTGAACATCAGGAAATTGAAAGTGTTCATTGAAAGTTATAGACAATTGTTCAATAGATATAAGCGTTTGTAGGAGGAGAAGAGAGAGGCCGGTCTCATGGAAGACAATAATGACAGAGAACAGAAGACTGCCAGGATTAATCAAGTGGCTAAGAAGAAAGCACTTCAATAGGTGAAGAATGTGGCTATTTTGAAGAGCAAGGGAGTTTGGTTTGGATAGTTTCGTAGGTAGGTTCCCATCTTAAGAGCCAAGGATATGATTGAGCATCTGAAAAGATTGGATCAAAAACTAAGCAAATTGAAATTGAATCAAAGACTCATACCAATACAAATGATCAAGATTAATAAGGATAAACTTATTAAAGATAGACCTAGGATATTTGAGGAGATCTCCTGTTTGGATATCAGTAAGAGTAGTTCGCAGGAGATCCTCAAATTATTGATTCAATCTAGAGATTAGTATGTGTAAGTAAACCAATACAAATCAGAGTTGGTTAGAAGTATTGAAGATTTGTATTCATTGAAAACTCGGAAGATTGAATCGATCCAAAGTTAGTTGTATCACTAAGAAGTTCCCAATTATTTGTATTTAGATTAGGAAGAATTGAAGTCTTTGTTCATCCAAAATCAGAAGGCTCAAATGAGAACTCTCGATTTTAAGATGATCAAAATGATAGAGAAGGATAAGCAAAAAGAAGTTTGGTTAATACTACAATAGTACCAATTAAAAATCCTGGAAGTCATTGAAATTGATTTACAACATAAGAATGTCTTGTTTGAGGATCTGATCTTGTAAGAGTTTACATTGTTTGATCACTTCTATTTCCCATAGAGTAAAGGAGTCGTTGGCAAAATTCTCGATTCAAGATATGAATTGCTGAATGGATGGACTTTGTTTGACACCATTAAGTTTAGACAATCGGTCAATATGACATACAAGAAGAAGGAATTGTTATTGTTCTTACTCAACTTATTGAATTCAATTCCCCATTGGAAGGATAAAAAAGTAATCACTCCTAAGTCCATTTATGCAAATAGGAACAAGAATTAAATTGGCTACACTTTCCATTGGATGATGTGTGGAAATAGAGATATTGAAAAAGAGAAACTATATCTTCCAAATGAAGAAAACAATAACAATCTATCCAAAATGGTGTACAATGCAGCCATGATTGTTGTTTATATGATGACTCTAGGCTAGATTGAAACCAATAAAGATTACCTAATTGAACATTAGGCAAGATTAATGAACAAATATCCTATAGTATTCACTATCATTTCAGACATGTTATTATCTGAAAATCAAAGGAAGCCCTACAATTACTTCAAATAATTGTGTAAAACGGAGTGTGAGAATGAAGAATTGTTTTTGGAAAATGAAAGATTATCACAGTAACTGATTGAAGATTCTAAAATATTAGATATCAATTATTAAGATCTGAAGTTATATGATTAGAATGAATTATCCAACCAATTGGAAACACAGAAACTGCATCAAGTCTTATCCCAACAACTATTCAAAATGGATATGTTGTATAAATTCAAACTATTCAAACAATTCTAAGAAGAATTGAATGTAACTGATGCCATTGCTTCTAGCATTTACAATAAAGAATTTTATATGATTCACATATCTAAGAACTTCGCCTTTTATTGTGACAAAGCACATCACCAAAAATTAATGTTGGACTTCATCTAATTTGAGTTTTACAAACAACTCCATTACTTCTTTAATAATCTAACCTTGTAAGGTATTTATTCCATCTCCTACCAACCAAATCTAAGTGACATCTATCATTTCATAACCAAGGTTGAGAGATACTCATCTCCCAGTATTCTGGATGATTTTGATTAGCAAAGTGATAAATTACTAATCAGAAAAAGGTTGAGAGTACAGAAAGAGAATTACGAAGCCTTGCACAAGAAATTAGAGTAGATACGACTCAAGTTTTTATTTCTACAAGCCTACGGAGAAATGTTTAAATAGAATTCATCCTATGCGATCGAGTTATTCAATAAGGCCCTAAAATTCTGTAACAATCCCTTAAGACAACTAATTCTACATATCAATATTGGAAGAATCCAGAAGGACAGACTCTAGAGTATTCAATACTTGAGTAAGTTGGATTGCCAATCTGAGTATTATAGTTTGAAAATACGTAATCTATTGATTAAATTGCACCTTGAAAGTGAGTAGTACCATGAGGCAATGAAGAAATGTGTTATTATCAAACCTTCAGATGAGCAGTGTCTATTTGAACAGTTGGTTCATTAGGAAACTCTGATTCTACAATCTTAGACCCAATGGTGTTTAGATCACTATTAAAATAACTATGATTATTTGAATTACTGGATTCAGAAGTACAAGTCAACATAAAGTAAACATAATGAGTTGGCTTTGATTGGATTGTACAATCTTGAATGTTGTATCAATCTCTTATACTACAATTACAATATTCACTTCGTGGAGGATTACCTCCAACTACTGTATTAATATAGTGATAAAAACCTCTTTCTCATTGATTACTTGCAATTTAAGTTGTTGTAGATCATAAACCTATAATTGGGTATGATAAATTATGGGATGATTACATAATACGATAAAAATTCAGAGGAAGGACAGTAAAGACTGTTGTTGAAATCCTATTAGCATATGCCAAAGTCATTCTCAAGGCAGAACGATTACCTGAGTCAATTATTTTTTGAATTGGAGTGCAATCTTTAGATGGACATGGATTACGAACTCTATTTAGAGATAAATGAATAATAGTTAAGGAATAGATATCATTTCTTAATTGCCAAATAATTGTTCACCAAATAGAAATACTCGTAAGCCAAGAGTGTTTTGGATAACACTAAATGCAACATTGATAGATTAATTGATGCATGGTAAATGAAGAATAATAAAATGATAGAATTGTAACATGATGTGAAATTCTAATTAAATGATTTGTCATGGAAGAATCTGTTTATAACTTTTGTGTTTGATCTAAACAATTTATATGCATAGTTAGTGTGTAAGTTGGCATTTAAATTAATTGAAATTGCATCCCAAAAGCATGATTGTAAATAGTTGTAACAATAATTCAAGATCTTCTTTGTGAAATTATTGCTGGAAGAATATAAGGATAAGGAGAATAATGAATATATTGATAAGAATTTTGAGATTAAGTTCTTCATTTTGACTACTTTGAATCAATACCTTTAAGATCTATCTCTAAATCTGCTTTCTGAGATCTGCGATATTGAAGACAAGATTAAATAGAAGGAATTGATAGATTACAAAGATATCTCAATTCCAGTTGATAAAAGACAGATGGAAAAGAAATCCATTTGTTTGAATGATCTTTTTGTTGTCCAATCTCAACTCTTGGAAGAGAGTGGAGATCCTATAGCAGCCTTGAAATGCTTGGATGTCTAATATGCCTTGATTTTGTACGATGAGAGATTCAGTCGATAAGTTTAGTAAGTCTTTTCGTAGAAAATGGAGAATGATGATCCAAATCTATTGGGAGCAAAATGCAAAGTCGCTATAATGAAGTTATTTTTGAATATCTTCTCATGTGGTCCACAATTGTTGAAGACCAGAAAGGCAGCCTTATTAGCCTGTGTTGACATAGTCACAAGTACTGCAGAATAGGCCAAATTAAGAATGAATGAGTTTCCAACCACGAAGATTATTTGGGATGATCATGCTTTGAACATTTTGGATTATGCAAAACCAAAATAATTGGAAGCATTCCAGAAATACAAATTAATCTATTATTAATGTGAGTGGAAACTGTTAGAATACTATGCCTTGGTTGGAATGTACAAAGAGGCTCACAATCACTTCCAAATGCTCTATAATCATTATGTGAAATTAAACAGCCAAGAAGATTATGCCAGAACTTACTTTGAGTATTCAATTGGCACTTACTTTTTGTTTATCAGACAAACACATCGTGCATCCCTCTTCTTTGAAAGAGCAGCCAGGAGATATCTGGATCAATAGATTTTTTATGAAGATCTAAAATTACCACTCTAAAATGTCTCTGGATCCTTCCGTGACAAATTCACTAATGACAGTCTACTATTAGATCTATTGAATCAATTCAATCACTACTTCACCTTGAGATCAAGATGCAGAATCTACAAATATTACAGTCGAATGTACGAGAAAGATACCGATTTACACAGACTCTTCCAATCCATCATTAGAATCCTAGAAAAGATTCGTAAAACCATGGGAAGGAAGAGTATACTCTATGTCGATGCTCTCATGATCTATGCTGAGTTTATACTCATCCACAAAGAAAGAGGATACAATGGATTCTAGACTTTTAAAATGGCATTCAAAAGTCATTACTTTTTTACCAGAAGAGAAGCAGAATTCTTTGAACCCTATGTTTACAAGTCTCATCTCCCCTATAAATTCTATACTCCAGATGATATTGAAGAGAGGCTAAGTGAAACACTTATTACTCAATGGATTTTCGATTTGTTAGATCAATGTTATAGATTCTATAAAGAATATTTCAATTCCGTAAATGTAACTGAACATTTTAGTGTTGTCTACTGCGATATCCTCTAATATAGAATAGCATTCATAGCCAATAGACTTTATCAAGCATAAATCATGTTGGATAGAGCATTATCCAATCTAGAAAAGGTAAATATGCTTATCCCTTATGTAATAGTTGTGTCCCACCTGCGAACATCCATACGGAGTCATGATTTATGAAGGATATGCCTTACTCTGTGAAAATCTGGAAAGAGTTTAAGAAGACAACATCAAAATCATACTGGAGTGTCCTTCTCATAGTCTATTCAATACCCTGACTTATGACCAAAGGTATAAGATTACTGTCCAAATCTATTTACGTAATGAGCAATTAGGAAAGTATTTCGATGATTACAAAAACAATGGATTCGAAGTATACTTGTTATAAAAACTATAAAAATTCACAGAAAAAAAATAATAAGAGAGAATTTCCATGAAATAGCAGAAACTAACTAAAAAACAAACTATCCTTTTAGACTTTGATACCTAAATGTAAATCAAGTAAGGAGCAAAAAGAGAGGCACTCATGAATCAAGACAAAATTACAGATGTCAAACTTAAAGTTGGCAACACTGGCTATTATAGAAAAGCATACAGAATTTGCAAAGTCATATTCAAAGAGTACAATGAACTCTACAGGAGAGTAGAAGACAAATTCATAGAACTGAGCAGACAAGAAGAAAGAGAAAATAAAATCGACTGATAATTATATGTTATATTATAAACCTAAACATCTAAAATCGGTTGTTCCTTCGATCTTCACAACGGAACCTCCGAGTGCAGCTGATTCCCTTATTTTAGATTCTCGCATACTGAGTGAAGAAAAGCTCAATCTGAATAGTAAGTTTGCATTGCTTGATCAATTCAGCCATCGAGCCTTTGATATCAAAGAATATAATCTGACTCAAAGAGAATTGCCAAGCAGAAAGAAACACTTCATTTAGAATAACAAATTGGATGTTTGGGGTGAAACAACCTTGACTCTCTATAGAAATCAATTCCTATATACCTCCCTAGATATCCATGAAAAATATTCACCTGTAGTCTTATTCATTTACGTAAAAAAAGGTGATCCCAACACTAAAATGCGATTGTTTTGTTCTGTCAAATTCTAATAACCCAATCGTTTCAATGCAGAAATCGAAACTTACGGTCGAGTGCTCAAATATCACTCTAAAGAAGGCGCAACTTTTTATGATCCTACACTTTACGTTGCCATATTGGCACATAATGATGTGGTGATTACTATCAAAAATGAATTTGCCAAGCCTCCAATTCCTAGGAAAATACCTTAAATTAAAAAAAAAGATGAATTCTGTTCAGATATAGAAGAACTAGCTGATTTAATCATCCGAAAACGTAAGCTCAGATAGAAATCCTTAAATTTCATTAATCTTAATAGATCACTACCCAGAAAATAAAGAATTGAATCTCCCTGTAACACAGAGAGATTAAAGGAAATTAAATTTAAATAGACAATAATATAAAAGGAGCAAAGCTTAAAACGAATTGCTTAGATAGCTTTGCATGATGTTGCCAAAGAAATCAAGTAGAAATAGATGAACATACAACTAAAGTAATCTGTTATACTGATAAATGTAGATAGATGCATAAAGAATGGGTATGTAAGAAATGGATTTAGATTGTCATCTTAGTCAATTACATTGTACCATCCATCAGCAATTACGTTAAAGTACAAAAACGCATATCTGAAAAAAATATGAGGAAACAAATATTGACTATGCAATTCATCAACAAAATTAAAAATAACATTTAACATTAAGGACCCAAAATTAAATTAAGAACTTTGCTGCTTTGTTAAATGAGTATGTAGATCTGCATCCATGGTCAGAAGGATAAAGTTAAGCAGAAGAGTAACAATATCGTCATCGAAATCCTCAGATAAAACATCAGAAGCTACTATACAGTCACAAAAGGCCTACACACTGTTAATCTAAGTAAGTGATCATTTGGATTTAGTTAAAAAATGTATCAACATGCTTGTTCGACACAAGAACAAAAGGTTGGAATTCATGGCTTCGATGAAGATTGCCATATCCCATCAATGCAAACAAATCTATGGCGACATCTTGAAGATGAAATAGCAATCAATCTCGCAACTGCCCCTTTAACAATAGTAGCAGCAGGAAAAGAATAAGAACAAGAGGGATCCCCTTCATTACTTAATTCATGATTAGTATAGAATTTATTAATATCATTTTAATAGATAATTTATAATGTTTATATATAAGAAATTATTTACGAATGTGTTACAGAAATGGAATTAAGATTTTGATGCTTTTCGAAAGGTCTATCATGAAAGTCAGAAGAAAGGATTGGCTTTGTTGTTGAGACCCTTGCCCCTAGAAATACCCAAGGAAGAGATTATTAATAATTATATTGTGGAGGAATTGGATCGCAGAGGATTGATAAATTATTAATATTATCCGTTAAATTAATGAATTCTCCAAGAGCAGAAACTCTGGATTTAGAATTAAGTGACACTATCAACAAGATCTATAATAGTTGTTAGAAGATCAATGATAAACATCTCAGAATAAGGATATTGCAATGGTTAGATAAAGTGAGAACTCCAACCCACAATTTTATTTGGAAATAGAATTCTTTATTATATGCTCGTGTTCTATTGGAGATGACTCTTGAAAAATAATTAGACAAGCCCTTTAGAGGAGTGCCTCCAGATGGGCCTTTGCCGAGATTGGACAAATTCGATGTTGTAATTGATTTTTGATTTAATAGTAAGCCCCAACAGGTTTGGTCGAAACTCAAACAGGTTCAGTAACCCCAGTCTCCAAGGAAACCTTTGGGAGTCATTTTGAATAGAAATTTTACTCCAAAGTTAAAGACTGAGCCTAATTCATACAAATGCAGCAAATTTCATAATAGTCAGAAATCTCAAAAGTGGGATCAAATTAAGGTGACTTTGGAAGGGGCTAATAAAAATATGCAAGAATTTAAACAATTTTTAGAAAATTTATAAACTTAATAACTATTTCTTTGAATTATTAATGTTATTTATTATTTTATAAATCCTATTGACTTAAGCATAACAAAACTAAACTAATTTTCTTTACCTTTTCAACCAATCTGCACTCGAAATTCAAGTAACATTACACTCACACTTGCATCAGCCATTTATTTTGGCATCATCAAATAAATAATTTGAAAATATCTATTATGTGGAAGGATAAGATAAAATACAGTCTTTGAATTATGATCATGAGTCATTCATCACAAACAACGATGTTCATGTCATATTTACTGAGTCTGCTATCGATTTGTACATATATGCTGGGTACTTAAATCAATCATATAATCAATACTCTAATTTCTCAATCCTAATCTAGAATCGATCTGGAGAATGCTCCTCCTTTTGTATTCAACAAGGTAATACATGTAATTCAATTAACAAGTAGTGTTTGTGCAAGTCTGGCTATTTTGGAAAGTTTTGTTAACTCTAGAGAACCATTGCTGTCTTGCAAACGTAATATGATATTATCATAAAACCTCTTGAATGGATATACATTGGTTTTGAAACCAAATAATTGAATTTGAATGACACTTTAAAATTGAGAATAAGGGATCAGTCATCTGAAATGTTGATGGGATTGGGTATGGAGGGAATAGAAAATCATGATGTTCCTAATGTCCATTATGATGCCTATATGATTCCAAAGAAAATTCAGTAATAGATCTACTAATTGAAGGGTGATTTAATCTATTATCAATAGATGTGTGAGAATTGCTCCTTTTTGAATATTGGATTTTACAATTAGCATTCATACCCAATCTTGTTTTATTTCGAATTGTATGATAAGGAATAATTGCTAGAAAGTGATCCCTATCATCTATAGATCATCTTCCAATCTATCTTTCTCACTTTTTTCATATTGATCACCTATCTGATATTTCGGAAGATAAGATAAAAACAACAAAGAGAGTAAATCAGATTAGTGCAAAGAGAGTTTAGAGTCAATAGGAGGAGAAGAAGAATGTAGCAATAATAGAATGAGGATATCCTGAAAGGGTTTAATTTAGAATTTATCCAAACATACTTCCCACAATTTTATTACTTAGATTTAATCGACAAATATCCCTAATTAAGTGAATTCGTTGAATGTGTAGTTTGTTTAGAATCTATGGCTCCTCCTCAATAAGGTAAATTGACAGAAAGAGATCACATAGATCATTGCTCACTGACTCCATGTTATCATCTATTTCATTAGCATTGTCTATTCAAATGGTTACAGACACAGAAGTGTTGTCCTTTGTGTCGAAAGGAATTTATAGAGCAGAACATAAAAAGTAAACCATGGATTAGTTTTAATAATGATATAAGTTTAAGAGAAACTAGTAGAGTTAATCCATTTGTGCAGAGGATGAAAACAAGAAGTGAAAATACATAGCAATCTGATATTCCTTTGATGGTGGACACTGAAAGTGTGGAAACCTAACCCAATAAAGATATTACTGTAAATTTAGCTTAAAAGAGTGCAAGGGATTTGATAATAAGATGAAATTGTATTTATAAATTATGGGTATTTTATTTAAATGACTCCATTAACTTAAGATGAATGTAATAAAAATCAATTCTGATTTGCATGTCTTCATCTCAAATAGAGTAACTTAATATAATTAATAAATTGATTATTAAGCAATAATTATAACAGTCTTGTTCATTTAATTAATGGGAACATGTTAATAGTGTAAATCGCATCTTGACATCAACAATCTCACCATCATTGACTAACTTAGCAATGATTTTATAGTAGTGTAGGATGATTATTAGCATCCTTTGTATGGTTAAGTGAATTTACTTGAATATAAGGAACTCAAAAAATTTGATTTTAAATTAGTACATAAACTTATTACATTTGTAGAGAAAGAAGACTTTCAACAAGCATTGCAATATTACGAAGCCAAATTTTATGGGTTCAATCATCCTAATCTTTTAATAATACATGGTATTGCATCATTATCTTAAAATAGCAATGTAATATAAATAGATAGATCAGTTCTTTAACACCCAATACAAATTGTCACTCTTTTTAGATTACTATGAAACTACTCTTGCTTAAGAATTAATATATAGAAAGAAAATGTATTTTGAAGAAGGTGAAATATTATTCTTTCTTGATTCACTAATTGGTAGCCAGGCATTTCTCTAATCTAAAGGCCATGCTTTGCCATCACTCAAATTCGATAACATCTATCTCTCTCATCTGCTTAATGGAGCAATTGCATTAAAAGTCTAAAGTCCTTTATTTGATTCAACTGACTAAGATTTAGAGTTCAGAACTTTATATGATAAAATCCAAAATGGTGAATAAGTCAGATTGCAGGATTACACATACTTGAGTCCAGAGCAATGGCAAATGATTCATAATAAGAAGTTTGAACCCTATGATGTTTTCAAGAGCAATGTCTTCGTTCTTGGTTTAGTAAAATATAATTACATTTAATTAGATGACTTTGGAATTGTGCTCTGTTCGTCAAAGTGTTAGCTTGTATTAAGATTACATGATAGATCAGAATCTTTTAAATGAATAAATCAACAAATTATAGGATCGATATGGAGAAGCATTACCTTTGCTTTTAGAAGCCATGTTACATTATGATCCCAAAGTGAGATGCGACTTTTTATAGCTAGATGATCTATTGAATTTGTCACAATTATTAAATGGCAAAAGATTAGTTCAAATTTGGACAAATGAAGATTTCTAATATAGCTTAGTCGAAAAAAGAGTATCAACTATGAGAAATATTCTTTTAGGTTCATTTTACAACAAAGCAACATTCTCTTGTCCATCCTGAAGTTCAATCTTAATTATCTAATTAGTCATTATTGCAAAAAGGCTCACACTTATCCCTTCGATAAGTCTTGTCTAAGAATTCAAAAGAATCAAAAGCTTCAAGCGTATAAATATTATCTCCTAACCAAGTCAATTATTCAAAAGAGAGAATCATATTCACCACAAGCACAATAAAAGAATTTATTTAAAAAGTTCGAAACTGAATAGGCTTCCAAAGGAGGCAGCAAGAAACTAATTACTTAAGACGGATTTGGAGTGGAATCATTATCAAATGGATTAACTTATGAAGGTATTTTTTAGGGCGGCAAAAAGCAAGGGTTGGGTAAGCTGATTAATGATGATAATGAGATTATTTATGAAGGATACTTTTATGAAAATCAGTAAATTTTATATAAAATATTAGATCAGATTTCATCGTACAGGAGTTCTTAAAAATTAAAACCCATAACAGTTATCAACGCCATTCAATTACAAAGATTTCAATTAGTTGGGAAATATGTGGATAAAATATGATGGCGATTTCTAGTAAGGGAAACAGGATGGATATGGTCAATTGACATTATCCAATTAAGAAATCTATACTGGACTTTTCAAAAATGGAGAGGTGAATGGAACAGGGGTGTTCCTAACTAAAGATGGTATAAAAATTGCAGGAAAGTGGCTTAATGGTATCTTTTAAGAAGAATGAGAATAAAAGTATATATTGATCATTACTATGAATTAATTATAATCTAAGCATCTCATACATAATTATTTATATGGAAAACATATTTAAACATAATTTAAAATCTTTGTGTCATGAACTAAATCATTCAAATAATTATATGGTGTTTCTCCACTCTTACAATTCAGTTGAATTTAATTAGTATTTTAATTTAATTTATTACGAATCTATGTCTACAAAATGTCTGAAAAATTCATTTAAACTAGAATCTTTACAAAACTTAAGGGCCAAAATTGATAACTCCTCTATGGATGAGTATTATCTAAGATTCAAACTTACTGAGGGATCATTAGCCAATATAAAATTGGAGATTGCTCTAAAAAGCTTTCGGTTTTCTTTCACATACTTTAATAAATATTAATTATTTATGGATTTTAACACTTATTCATCATGTTAAGTTAATTATATTTCAGAGAGACTAAAATTTATATCCTTCTTTTTTATTCTATCCTAGAAATAATCAACAACCTTCGAAAGAAACTATATCACCTTTTCATTTACAATATAATCTTAAATTTGGGAAATCTCACATATTACACTTTAAGTAGCATTTCCATATTTCAAATCACTTAAAATACCTTCAAATTCTACTCTTCTCTGATTAGATTCAACAATCAAAGAAATCAGTTCAGAAGACTTAAAAATAATTTTTTTTCTTCTAAATAGATTTGATACTGAATCTTCTAATTCACGTACGCACTTGTATTGGTATCTATTAGCTAATTGTTATTTAATGGTTTTATTATTATCATCTTAGATTATTATTGATTTCAATCTATTTAATGTAGTAAGTCCTAACTTAGATTAAATATTTTCTTTAAATTTATGTAATACATTTATAATCTATTAGAGGATTTTCTTAATTGCAAGTTAAATCTCTTAATTGATTGTTGATGAATTATTGATTTCAGAAATGTTCTACTGGATCTCTTATAATAATTAGTCTACAACCTAATGATTATTGTCAAAACCTCCTTATTCATGAGGAAGAATTTATTAAAAAAGAAGGAGTATTTTGGAATTTAATGGGCTTATTAAATCTTCTAATTGCCTTAGTTTTTGATATTCAATTTAAAAAGATTGATTCAATTTAGAACTTTGTAATAACTCTTAAATCTTGAATTTATCTAGTTTGGTCCATTTTTGTTATGTTATTATTTTATCAAATTATATTTAAATTTATTTGTTAAAATTTCCTTATATTATCTCCTACATATCCAATTTCACAAATAATTTCACATATTCTGTTGAAAGCAATTGTAAGAGGTTACTAAAGCTTAATTTTAAGACTGTATGATGGATTGATTTCAAAATCTCTTTTGCCTACTGAAAATCTCCAATTAATCCTTCACTCTCTATATTGACATATAGGCCCAGAATATATGGAATTATAGGTTCTACTCTTTCTAATTTAGGAAATCGTTGTTCAAGCTTTTTGATCATAGCTGATTTTCTATACCTAAATTACAAATAACATTAGATTTTACTCAATTTTTTCTAGAATTACTGATTTTTTTGTTGGGATTAGATTGATGCTTAATGATCTTCTCAGTAGAGTTGATTCTTTTAGGCTAGACTTTCTTTAAATAAACTAGTGTTGAATTTATTCATCTGAAGAAAACAAGTCTTGAAGCAAATCCTAAGAGTAAATATTACATTAGTCTATCTCAATTAAGTTTAATTGATAAGGTATATTGAATTAAGCTAGATTTTTATCTATGAAATAGTTTAAAGTTGAATGGATTTGTTTGTTGATGATTTACTTTTAAACTTCAAGAACAATTTTAATGGATTCACTTTTAGCTCCCTAAACTGCTTATTGAGCTGTAACAGTGCTTTCTTATTGTTGCTTAATATCAAGATGCATCAAGTTTGATTGGTTATAAATAGCAAACAATTTATTCAAGCCCAGATTAACAAGTTAGGGTTGTGATCCTTAAAAATACTCAATTAAGCAGTCTATTTCTTGAGCGCATCCCAAAATCGATTCCAAGTCATTGTATATCTTAATTGATAGTTCATTTTAATCATCAAAGATTTCTGAGATTAACAAGCTCATTTTAAGATATTAATATTTTAGTAAGAATTATAAATATAGATTTTGTTAATGATGTAATAAAAAATATACACATCGATTTTCAAAGTGAAATGAATTTTGAATTTCATCCATCATCATAACGATTATCAGTAAGAAGGACTTGATTTGTATTATATCAAGAACTTCTTATTTATATTGAATTAATAGAATAAATTCTACAGATTTCTTCAATTTTATTTTCATAATATCAATCACTTTTAATGGCTTCCCTTATATAACTCAATTGGCTTACTTAATTAACAAAAATGGTAAAAATGAATTATTCCAACGAAAAATATTTCTTATTGTTAATATAAATTATATTTAAATAGTTTAGAATATATTAAGAATTAGAGAAGAAGCTTTTATGAAATACTTTTATTTATGTTATAAATTCGATTTCTTCATCATTTTTTATTTCCTCGCAAATTCTTAGATTTCTTGACTTGCTGATTGACTGCCAAAAAACTTGTTTCGTATGAATCTAGAGTGATTATATAATATTTATTATACCTCCATTTTTCTTTATTTGTTGTTTATTTGGTTTATAATTTGAGAACAATTCTTGGATTTCTTATTCAACTTCTTGCTTTTTAGATACTCTTTCAACTTTAGCTACTGGTTCTTCTGAGATTGATGATTCCAATTACACTTCTGAACCTGATGCATGAGATAACATACTAGATATGATATCATTTTTATTTTGGGTCCAATCCAAGTAGATTCTTTCGAATTCATAAGGAGATAAGTTATCAGATTTCTAGTTGTCCTATGAGAATCTGCCCTTCTTGATTTACAAATCATTCTTAATCTTTTCCATAACTTCTTATTTTCTTTAGTTCAATTCTTTTTCATAATCACTCACTGCTTAATTAACAGGTTTATCCAAATAATACCTTTCTCCATCATTAATTTTGTTCTTTGATGCAGCTTAAGCTTTTTAAGTTCTCAATAGTTCTTCAATTTTCTATTAGAATTCCTTATCCTTATTTTTTTCATCAGTGACTGCATCTACATCTTATTCAACTACATCTACCCTCTTTTTCACAATGACATCATCACTATTGTGAATCTATCTAAGTTCTTCCACATTCTTTTTAATATCCTAATAAATTTATTATTCTTGATCTCTAGTTTCAACTCTTTTATTAGTTGATGCCTCTAATTCATGAACTAATTCATTAACAATCTAATCAAATTACTCTTCATGACTCAACTATTATTTCTCTTTTTGCTTTTTGTTGATAATCTACTGATGTAATTGTTCTTCAAATTTAGTTTATTTTTCATTTTACTCAATTTTCAAAGATTTATCTTACTACTTATTTTATGGTTTCTATTCCCTACTAACTTTTATTGAATGCTTTTCTTTCTTCTCATTCTTCTCCTATGCAACCCCATCCTTATTTTCAACGGTATGCTCGTCCTCGTCATTTTCAATGCAATCCTTCAAGTCTTCAAGATTCTCAATAACTTCTGGTTCAGATTTAACTTCTAAGTTTTCATCTGCTTCAACTTAAGGCATTTAAGAATCATTATAGAAAACTTCTATATTATCCTCTTGAACAGTTCCTTCTCCATTGATGTCTTCGTTAGTAATAATGTTATCCGCTTCCTCTTTTATAGTAATATTCTTTTTCAACAACTACTTCTTCTTGATTTCAACCTTAGGTAGATCTTCAGATTTGGTTTCCTCAGATGCAGCTGCATTTTCTAAGGTAATTTCGTTTTCTTATTCATCAACTTATTCGTCTATTTATTATTATCCCTGTTGTTCTGGTTATTAAGTAGGGATGTTAGATTAAGCCTCAGTTTCTACTTTTGAGACAGATAAGCTCTTTTATTAAGATTCTAATTATTTCTAAGGTTCTTCAGAATTGGACTAATTAACACTTACCTAATTCTCTTATTAATTAACATCAGCTTAAATCTCTTATTAATTAACATCTACCTTATTTTCAGGTATTTAATTCTCTGATTACTCAACGACTTGATTTTACTCTGATTACTCAACGACTTGATTTTAGGCTACTTCTTATTATTAATCTGGTTTATCTACATTTACTTATGTTTTGATTTCTTAATTTGCTTCAACATTCTATGATTATTAATCTTGTGTAGTGTTTCCCTCCTACTATTTAACTGAATCATCTTTTGCGATATTTGCATTTTCCTATGAACTTGTATCTTCAAATGAGAGATCATAATCTTTATTAATATCAGATTCTTGATCACTACCATTAGAATCACCAGTATAGACCATTACTCCATCACTAACAACAGCCTCTTCATTGGATTAAACTTAACTTTCGTATATCTCTTCATTTTCTAATTCTTAATCTTCTAATTAAGCATCATCTTGTTAAGTTTCTTGTTTTTCAGTTTATTCTTATTATACATCTGATTGAACATCTTATTCATTTGAATTGTCCAGTTGATAATAATCATCATCATAATTATTAAGATTTTCATCAGCATCAAGATTTTGATTAGATGTCACTTCATCATTAATTTTAATAGTTTATTATTCATCCTAATTATTTTATTCATCAACTTAATCGTTTGATTGAACTTCTTAGTTTTATATCACTTCAACTTTCTATTCAATATCGTTGCCCTATTAAACTACCTATTCTTAAACTGCAGGTTCCTATTAGGCATTTGTCTATTGTTAAATAATTTAATCTAACTCATTATCTAAATCATCCAAATAATAATCATCATCAGAAGCATTGTTGGTAATTGTAGAATCATTATTAGTAACAATGGTTAAATATTGTTGATCTTCCTTTGTAGTCTCACTCTATTGAGTGTCAATAACCTCACTTTATTGTGTGTCAATAACCTCACTCTATTGTGTGTCAGTAACCTCACTCTATTGAGTATCAATAACCTTAGGTTCTTCCAAAGTAGGTTAAGATGGTTATTCCAAACTGAGATTATCAAGTTCCTTTGCTAACTCATCTAATTAGGATTGGAATTAATCAAAATTAGTACCATCATTATTTAAACTATTATTTTAAATAACATCAGTTTCCATTTAGTCATAATCCAAAGGATAGTCATCTTAGACAATGTTATTCTTAGTTATTTAATTAGCATTGATCTCTACTTAATCTGAAATCAAGGATTAAACATCAACATCAGCTTCTCCTAAATTCTTATCCTCCTCCATTATTTGAATTTCCTTTTCAGTTACATCCTTGATTGCATCAGTGATGATTTCAGATTACACATAATTATCTGTGTCTTCAACAATAATTGGAACTAAATCGGAACTATCATCAGCGAAAATGCTGAGATCCACTTTCTCAACTTCAGCTTAGACCTTAACAACTTCTCCAATTAATTATTATTCTGGATTAATTGTCTCTTAAACTGTTATTTCAGCATCTGTGTCAAAGTATGCAGTGTCTTTTATGACAATCACATCATCAGGATCTAAATTTGAAACATTCAAACTATACAATTTGTTTTAAGGAGCTTTATCTGTTTATTTCATATCACTAATAACTTCCTTCATTTTCTTAGTCAATTAATTCTTCTTTACCATGAAATCAGGTGCTTCAGCTTACTTTTATTTATTAGAATCCTTGTTTTTCTCTTAATTTACTTTTTATTATTATTTGATCTCTTATTTTTATTATTATTTTACCTCTGGTTATTATTTAATTTCTTATTATTATTATACATCTTATTATTATTATTAAACTACCTCTTATTTGATATCCTCTTATTATTAAACTACCTCTTATTTGATATCTTCTTATTATTAAACTACTTCTTATTATTTAACATCTTCTACTTATTTTTATTCAATTGTATTTTAAGTGTCTGCTTCCACTTAAACTTCCTTTTTACTTTCCTATGCATGTACAGTATCCAATTCTTCACCATCGCATTAGGTATTTTCCTCTATTGGTTGATTATGTGACTCATCCTAATTATCAGTTGCTTATCCTTTATCATCTTAATTTTATTTGGTTTCTGTATTATTTGAATTTTCCTCCTCAACTTCATCAGCAGAATCATCATGTTCTTCCCCTTAATCTTTAGAATCTGATGCTACTGGATCAACCTTGATCTCTTCATCTGATTTTATTAAAATCTCTGCATCATCAACTTTATTAGTATCTGCTTATTATTACTTGTCATCGACTTATTGAATTGGTTAAGCTTCTATTTTAATATCTTGAATCACAACCTCATTTTAAACATCCTCTTTAGTCAATTATTCAGTTTCATCTTTTTTGTTCTCAACAGATATTTTATTAATGTTTTTATCTTATAAAGTATTCAATTCTTATTATTATTAAGTTTCGACTTCAGCAGATTCTTTTTATACAACATTCTCCTTTTATTGTTATTCTGTTTCATTTTATTATGCTGGAATTTAATTTTATTATTCTTAAGTGGATTCATTTGCAGTTTCATCTTAAGCTTCTTTTTGATTGTCGATTTAAGTTTCAACTTAGTTTTCATCATTATTCTCTACCAATTAATCGTCTGCCTTTACTTCTTAAGATGAATTGCTAGATTCAACTTAATTGGTTGCTTCAATATTCTTAGATTCTATTTAAGAATTCTCAACCTCAACAGATGCATCTTATTCTTAAGTACTATCTTTAGATGATACTTCAGCATCTTTATTTGCTGCTTCAATATTTTATTATCTCTATTCTTGGGCATCTTCTTTATTCTCATTTTAAGGTTATTCATTTTAAACCTCTTATCCCTATTGGTTAGCACTTTACTCTCCTGATTTTTGTTTTTTGCTTACGGAAACTGAAAATTTCTTTTACTATATTGAAGCTTCTTTTTATTTATCAGGTTAGCTTGTATTGTCTTTTGTTTCTACATTATTATTTGGATTGGCAATAACATCACTAGCTGATTACTCAACTTATTTTTTGTCTATTTTTTGTACTTTAATGGATAATTTCTTTTATTAGCTTTCTGATTCCTTATTTACTTAATCAGATTTGACTTCAATAGTTTTTGCATTTTCACTTTTCTATTCTGCTTTCATTAGGGGTTGCTATTCTATTTCCAATGATTTTTGTGACCAAATTTCAATGGATTTATCCTTTACTTCGTTCACTTCAACAGACCTACCTGTTTCAAGAAAACTTCTAAGCTGAATAGAATGCATTAATACATAGCAATATCTTTCATTACTGAATTCTCTAGTAATTCATTCTATCTATATGCTTTATCAAGTTCTCCACTCGATTCTTATGCGGAAATTTAATTCGGTAATATAACTTTCACATTGATGGTTCCATGAATTTCCGTTGATTTCACTAACAACAATGTCAGCAGCAATATGCTAACTAATTTTAACATATTAAAAAAATAATAATAAAAACGGATATATGGCACTACTACATCTAATTCAATCATAATCTTTAATACTCTTTTTCAAAAGCATTCAAACTAGTATCTAGACTGATTCCAAAAGAATTTGAAAAATGCCAAATAGATCATATATATAGTTCCCCATAAAAAACTATTTGATAAAAAAGTAAAAACATAGATTAATTACAACATCAATTATTTCAATTTATAACATAAAAGAATAGTTCATAATCAATATCACCTTTTTGATCTTTTGTGATTATCTCTATTCCTTTCAAGTTATTGAATCTCCTCTGAATCCTCGCTTTCAGTTTCATTCCTCCTTAGCCTTCTTGGCTTCTTTTCTACTTACTCTCTATTAGGGGAATTGACTCCTTACTCAATGGAAGACTATCTGGCTACTGAGGAATTCCCACTATAAACATCTTATTTCACTTCTGATCTAGTTATCCTACTGCCATTTTTAGACTTTTTCATTTTCTGTTCTTTTTCAATCTTAGAGTTTACATCTACTGATTAAAACCATTCTAAATTATTAGATCCGACCATTTTTTCATAGCTCTTTTGTAATTATTTATTGTTATTCTACTATATAGATTTATACTTTCTCTTTTATTGTTCTTGCTTTAACTGTTTTTGTTTTTGTTCAATTTCAATCTCATTCAACAACTATAAAAAATCCTACTTCTTTTTCTCTTTTCTTTTATCATTAACTTTTTCCTTCTTCTTTATTTCATCATTTGTTTCTAATCTGCTCAATGGTAATTCTCTATATTTATAAGTTCTATGCTTTTTCTACTTAACTTCATTTTAATTCTCAATCACCTATCCCAATTTATTAACTGGAAGATTTAAATATTTTTATTATTCTAATTAAAATTAAGTATGCATTTAATCCTGCTGAAACTTCTACTCATTTTATTGATCTATTCCTTATATAATCATCACACCCTCATCATGTTATTTAAATTCATCTGGATGTTAAATGGTCTGTTATTATTAATACTATCTATTATTATATTTTCGTTTATCAACAACTACTTTTAAGATCTAGATTTTATCTGCATCCAACAAATCAAAATCTTCATCATCACTATTAGATTATATTCCCCTATTCTTTTAAATTTTCTATGATTTGTCTTTCTCTTTCTCTTTTTCATTGTCTTTCTCCTTGTCTTCCTTCGATATTTCAATACAATCTGATGAATCTTTCTTTTTGAGTTTTTTTTACTTTGGTTATTTCTTTTCTTTTTGCTTCTTGCACTCACTATTAATTTTGTTATTATTCTCACCTTTATCAAATTCTTGCTTAATTTATTTTTCTTTTTCAAGAGATTTGTTCTCTTAGGGAACCTCCTATGTTTACACATAATGTAAAGTTATGGGATTAAACATACATTATTTAGTTATTGTTACTGATTTCATATTCTATTTATGGAACTATAAAAACAGTTGATCCGACATTCTTTTCTCAAATCTATAGATCTCTTTTTCTCCTTCATTTATTAATGCAATTTCTGAGAATCTTAACCATTTAATAAAATCCCTCTGTTTTTATCTTAATAAACATCTATACAATGGCATTCCTTAATTAATCAATTTTTTGGTTAGAATCTTGTAAACCAACTTTTACTCTTGTTATTTTTTCATTTCCTTCTCTTATTACTGTTTTTCTTGTCTAATTTGTCTAGCCAATGCTGCCTCTTATTACAGTTATTATTTTTAAGCAGATTCTCTCTATTTCTAAACTTATTATTTTACTATTTCTAATTATTTATCTGACTATATTTCTAACTATTTTTCTGACTATTTTACTTTCTCTTATTTTTGTTCTTTACTCTTATCTTCTTTATTAATTTGCTTTTCTATGTTATTTAAATTATTTTCATCTACCCTACGTTTATGGATTTTTATTGTAATTTGTTTGTTGCTTTTTTCAACAATATTCTGTTTTTTTTCTTTAAGATTCGATAAGTCTATTAGTAAATTATTTATGCAATCCAATCCTTCAAGCAATTAGTCAACTTCTTATGGTTTCGGTGGTTCATCTACTACAATATCATTTCTCTTATACAGGTCTTCTCGACCCTTCAACCTTAAATATATTAAAGAGTTCTTTGGATTGTAAAATTTCTACTTTACATTCTATTTTGGTTTGGACTATTAAATAAGTTAATTTATATCCCTTTTTGGAGTGGTAATAATATCATTTATGGGTTCCTTTTGTTATTTATTGATTGAATTGGTTATAATACGAATATTTACTTTCCCAAAAGCACTTTTTTAAGGTTTTAATTAGCATTCTTATTTATTTACTAGAGTTGGCTTCTAAACTTCCTTGACTCTTTCCAATATCAATTATTCTTAATCTATTTCAACCTCCTCCAAGATATGTTAGTCTTCAAAAAATTACTCTATGTATTGAGGTTCTTCAAGTTGAGGTGGTGGACTGGGTTCTTTTTGTATTTGAATAGATACTGGAGTATCATCTACCTCTTCATATTCTGACAGTTCATCAAAGTTCACTTCCCATCTTTAAATAAGATTATCAGGCTTTCGTCTTTGAATTTGGTCTTCTTCTTGTTAAATTATAAGAGAAGGTATTTCTACTGCTTCTTTTTTGACAGGTTGAAGTGATGAGCCTTATTATAATTACTTAATATCATTCCTAGGAGGTGAATCATGAGGTTGATTGTGTTGAGGTGAGGAAGATTCGGATTAATTATCTGAAATATCTTCGATATCAGAAAAGTCGAGCACATAGTGTGTTTACTTGATGTTGGATCTCATTTAAAATAATATCATGTCTCATTGATTAATTGTTTAATTAGGTAAAAGAAAAAGAATGATTTTTTATCCATTTGCTAATAAATCTGAATTATATTAAAAATTATAAATTGAAAATTATTAAAATCAAAATAAATTTGATGTTTGATTAATGACAACTAAATTCAAGTGTAAAGTTATTAATATAATATGTGAATGCATTAAATCAAAGAACAAAAGTGTACTAATTTGTTTCAAACAGACAATAATCAAAACTTCTTTAATTTTATGACTTTAACAGATCTTATTTAAATAAATTCAATAAATTCAAAGTTATCCTCATGCATTATAAGTTTATACTAAAGGTTCAAGTATTGACAATCATCATCTGATTATAAGAAATTATTATTTGGTTACAATTATTTAAATTCTCTACTTAGATATATAGTCGAAGATCTCAATAAAAACAGTCAAACAACAATCAATAATAATCATCCTCTTCTAAGATAAAAACGAAAAGGTGTAGCTGCTTTAACACTAAGAACTCTGTTAGATAGCCATTTTCAAAAAGCCATAATGAGTCTATCATACCTCAGCAATTAATTCAATTAAGTATAATTGCCAGAAGATAAACTAGATTTTGAAAATCCTTATTGATTAAGTTCTAACCCATAATTTGACTATAATTTTATAAATTCGCAAAGAGATTCATTATAAAGTAAGAATGAACTAATTTAATCGAAAAATTTAGATAATCCGTTATTATTTAAAACAGCAGTATTCTCTAGATTAAAATAGCAGAAGTAAAAGATGTAATAATTATAGAAAAAAATTAAGTGCAAACTTCATTTAAATCCAGATTTTAAAATCACTATAACATGATGATATAATGAAAATAGTCTTTAATAATACTTTAAGTTTTTTTGATTTTCTTTAAAAGAAATAATCCCTTAAACTCCATTTTCAGTCACTTAACTTAAACATAACATAATATTTCATGCGCATCAAAAGGCAATATTTATGCAAATATGCATATTTCTGATTTGGTTTATCTAAAATTATAAACAAAAAATATAAAAATGCTTTAAGATAGTAAAAGGCATGGTCCATCCCTTGAATTATAAAACTTGGGCCCACTACACAAGTCTATAAGCAAGATAACTGATCCTGATATTCAAAGTTTTGAGTGTTAGAAAAATACCTATATTACTTCACCAAGAGCATAACGATTTGACAAACTGGGAAATTTGATTCTTAAAAGCTAAAAAAAATAATATTAGATAACATTTAGAGATGAAGTAACAGCCAAAGCAAAATTATATGACATTATAATAGTGGACAATTGGAAAAATTTTAATATTATTGATGAAGATAAAGAAAAAGTGGGCTGTTGTCAGTCCAAAAGTTGTTAATTATTTTGATATTACACTATGTTACAATCTCTATAAATAATAAATAACCAATATTACATAAATGATTTTTAAAGTTCATGATCTCTTTTTCATTCAACAATTTTCATGTTCAGTATTGATGGACATTGACTATTCTTCCTGCTTAAAAACTTAAATTACTAAATAAAAAATGCATTAATATACTGAAAACTATAAGATCCCTATATTTCAATAATAATCGAACCTTTATCACTAAAATATGCAAAATAAATATACAAAATCGGTAAAAAATAATAGAAGATTTAAAAAGTATGACTGCTCTCTTAACATAGAAAATTAAATACTCTTATTAACCACTCAAGTTATTACTGCAATATAAATATGTAGCAGTAGATTTTAACTCATTCCTTCCCCGAACCTTTTAGTTTTTATAATTAATCAATATTCAATTTTATTGTAATTTTTAATTAAAATTTTCCACCATTAGATTAAATTGATATAACTATTTTTATTCTTATATAAGAATTGTAAAATAAGAATTCCTTTATTTTCGTAGTCTTTCTATTAATTAATTTAGATTATCAAAATTCTTAAATTTTCATAAAAAACAATAGTACAACCACTAAATTTTAAGTTGCTTGGATTTATTAATTACGAATAAGTCATATCATTAGTTAAATTAAATTTTTAGTGCAAATGATTATCAAAATGGGAGATCTATTTTTAATAACAAGCCAATAAAATATAAATCTTGTACATTAAAAGTTTCTGGTTGATCATCAGATGATATTATGTTCAAAAAGATATTTAATGGAATATTATTTAACAAGGAATAAGAGGTACACAAGAATAGCTTAGAGAGGAATAGATTCATAGATAAGTTGAAATTTGGAAATCAGATAATGCTGGCATGGCAAACTCAAGATCTCCTACGGTGTTGTGAAATTATCATTAATCTTTCTCAGAAAATAATAAATTTACAAAAAATTCAAACTAATATATTTACATTAATTTAATCAAAAAAGGCTGAAAATCTAAAACATACTATTGAAAAAAAATTTTTTATTAAGAATATCCTTTAATGAGTAAAAAGGCAGGCTTATTGTTGGATGGAAGAAAATTAAAAATCAATTATAATTATTTGAATTTAATATTATGTTATATAAATTTGATTAAATGTCTAAACAAAGAAGACCGAATAGTTAACAGAAAATGTAATAGAACATTGTAAATAATTGTAAAATTTTAGACTTAATCAATCAACAAGCTGAAGACTTAATTATAATAATAGAGATAACATAGATGGTCAGAATAAAAATGAATAAAGAACTATTTGATTTTTTAACATAAATAAATTTGCAGTAATTTTATGGAAAGATAGCGTAGCTTTGCAATGATAATTTGTAGTAATTTATTGAGATGAAGTAAATTAATGATTTTAATAATCAGATCATTTAAAGATATAAAGGATTTACCATTTGGATATCAGATTAAATTATAGGTATAAAGACTTGATTAAAATTAAGAAAGCGATTGAGAAGATGGCTAAAGAACCAACAAATAAATCATCAAAAATGAAGAACTAATGTTGTTATTAATGAAATTAAAGTTAACTTAAGTGATGAACTAGTTTATATTTAATAATTTTTATTTTGATTATGGCAGATATAAAATTCAAACTTCATCCATAGGAATTTGATAAATCCAAATTGATTAAGGAGAAGAAGGAAATAATTTAGCGATTTCAACAATAATGGATAAAGGAATCTGAAGAACCTTCAAGATATAAGAAGGGAATTAAAATTAAAAATTATATTGACATGGGCAAGTATGAGGGAGAATTAAACAATGATAAAAGATGTGGCAAAGGCATATATTATTATAGTAATGGTGACACATATGTGGGAGAATGGAAGGAAGATAGGTAAAACAGAAAGCACAATGTAGGTTTCATGGAAAAGGAGTTTATTTATTCGCAAATGGGGAGAGATATGATGGAGATTTGAGAGAAAGCATCAAGCATGGCCGTGGAATATATTTATATGAAAATGGTAACGTATATGATGGAGAATGGGCTAATGATAAAAAAAATGGTTAGGGAACTTACACATACTTTGTAAACAACGAAAAATTTGAAGGATAATGGGTTGATGGAGAAAAACATGGGAAGGGTATGTACATCTACACAACTGGTGATAAGTATTTTGGAGATTGGAGAGATGGTGCAAAATCAGGGAAGGGTGTATTTGATTATTTAAATGGGTCAAGATTTGAGGGAGAATTCCTGGATGATAAAGCGAATGGATTTGGAGTGATGGAGTATTAAAATGGAGACAAATATGAAGGAGAATGGCTAGGAGGTTTAAAGGAAGGATAAGGAACATATTAATATTCCGATGGAGCTAAATATCAAGGAGAATGGAGGAATGACACTTAATTTGGACATGGAATTTTTTATTACGTTAATGGGGATAGATATGAAGGATCATTTGTGGAGGGAATTCGTTCTGGCTAAGGAATTTATAATTATTCTAATGGAGATAGGTATGAAGGAGATTACCAGAATGATGTACGAAATGGGATAGGAAGATTGCAAATGGTTAATAATGATGCTTATAATGGAGAATGGGTAAATGGAAAAAGGAATGGAAAAGGAAGATATGAATATGCGAATGGTGATTATTTTGAAGGTGTCTTTTAGGATGGAAAGAGATAAGGAAAAGGAGTGTATTATTGGAAAAATGGAGACAAGCTTATTGGATAATGGAAAAATGATAAATTGGATGGAGAGGGAGAATTTCTATAAAAGCATTGATATTAAAAGCATAAATTAAAATTGTTATAAAATAACTAATATATTATTAATGAAAATTTTAATAGTAAATGGGTATGGGAAATGTATCAAAGGATTTAGGAGTTAAGAACATTACAAACAAATTATTAAAGAAGTACTCATCCAAATTTAATATAGGTGTTAACAGGTAAGAAAGAGATGATCGATACAGAATTAGAATTCTTCTTTGCTGATCGAGACTCAATAGATGACTTTCTTTATGAAATAGACAGTTCTTTTGTGAGAGTTGAATGTGGAAAGATGTTCGATTCTATCGATTTAATCTTTTTTGAAGGAGATGCAAATCTTAGACCTTGGTCTCCTAATGCATACAAGTTCTTGATTTTATTAAGGATGTGTATGAGAAGCAATAAGATTCTATTTGCCTCATCATTTGCCATGTAAGGCTTAGTCTTTTTGATTGCATCTAATGTTGAATGTGTACAAACTTACACTTACTTTAGTAATTCTCAGTGATTAATGGACTTAATGGTGGATAATTGGGAGATCTCTCTAAAATCAAGAAACCTCTTAATGAAATCAGAATGAGTGATTTCTTTCTTGATAATGTGACAGGTGATTTATACAGTTTTAATTATGATACTGAAGAATGGGTCAGTAAGGGAAATGCTGGGTTACACAGTAGAAGGGCTGCGGAAGAATTTAAAACAATTGGCAAGTATATTGTTAAGGCTCCACAATACAAGGTTTCAAGAATGAAAGAAATCGATTAACTTTATGTTTCTAAAGAAAATGAGATCGTTTGCTCTTTGAGAAAGAACTCTATGCATAATTACTTATTTAATGGTTTGCCTTTTGAATTTGTAGTCCCATTTAAGAATTCGTGGGATGTTCATCCGTTTAATTTTGTGAACCCAAAGAAGACATTCCAAACTTTGGCAGATTGTGAAAAAGGTTCATCTTCTTTATTTATCAATAGGACCTCTCATAATTTAAGTCACAGATAATATAGTAGCTACTCAGTTTCCCATACGCTCTAAGTACAAGGAAACAGTTCAAATTCTGCGTAATTTTATGGGATATTAACTAAGTATATTAATAGTATATCTAGCCAAATTATGTTCTGGAAGGGCTTAAACGATTCCGATTGAAATTGCTTCGATTAAATAGAATGACAATGCTATGGATATTTATTTAGAACATTTAGGCCGTAGTAAATATAATAACTAAAAGACGATCAAATTTAATGTTATTACAGAATTTCATCATGCAGGATTTGCTGCTAAGAAATCTAATCAATTAGATGTAGTAGTAAATAATGCTATTGGAAAAAAGAAATTTAAGTAAACAGTTTAAAAATTGAATCCAAAAGAATTAGACAGATTATTAGATTAAGTAAATCACTAAATTATTTTTGATAGAATTCTTCACTTTCCAATCAACCTTTTTAAGCTGATCAAGATCGTTTGCCAAGCACATATAGTGCATAGCCACAAAATAATTTTGAAGAATAAACTCTAAATTTCAATAAAACAGGTGCCGAGATTATTTAATTTCTCCATCCAACAATTGATAAAAGCATTTTTCCTGATGCAAGACCTCTTTGGGTTCCTGGCTATTTGTCTCAAAGTCGATTACATAAAAGATAACTGAAATAAACCCAGAATACAATTAGTGAAGAGGGTTAATCGACTCCTTTCTTAACAGAGCAAAAGTAGATTACTACTCCCAGGATACCAAGGACTCCGTCATAGCCTCATTTTAGAGTGATTTAAAAAGATAAATGGATAACAAATAAGAATTTTAAAGTTTGAATATAAATGTATGTATTTTATGAAATTTTGATTCTTAAGTAATCAGTAATTTCTAATCCCTCTCAATAAAGAATAAAATGACAAAATAAAAATAAAATGATTTCAAAAAACATCAAATCATAATTTTAACCTCAATTCAATAATAATTGAAATAAAAAACAATAAATTTCAGTTCACAAATTTTGACTCAAAATAATTCAAAATTAAATAGCATTATTTCATCATAAAATCAGAATTTTAATTACAATATTATTTTCTAAAACCAAAGCGAATGACCAAATAAGCAGTTTTTTAATTTTCCAAAATAACTAACTATTTAGGTGTGATTTCATCTTCTGGATGTTGAGATTTAAATTAATTTTAGAAAATAAAAATATGATCACTAAATGTGATAATATTATTACCATAAATATTTTATATTCATATTCTATCCAATACTCTCTATGTTTAGAAGAGACTCTTCTATAGCAATTTTCAGTTTTAAATATCAATTACAAGTTTTCAGAACTATTCATAGATCAATAAACAGAACTATTTAACAATTAATAATAATTAATTCATATATAACAAAATAATATATAGAGAGTAGATGTAGAAAGGAAAACAAGTAGAAGAGTATTTCTATCCTGTGATGCATAATAAAAAGCAGCATGAATACTTGAGATAAAGTCTTTAAGAGGACTGTCATAATTATGGCAATTAGAAAACTAAAGAAGGGTTTTAGAAGTAAACATTTAAAGCGAGAAGGGAATAAGAGTAAGAAGATATAGAGATAGGACCTTAAAAGTCAATAAGACCAATGACTGCATTAATATCGCCTAGTCATAGTTATTCATCAAGATAGAGGCCAATAACAGCCCCAGGATTGAATGTGTAAGTGAAACACATGATGAAGATAGATGAGAATGATGCTATGATATCAGTGCCATACCATTCAGAAGCAAAGCATTTTCGGAATACAAAGACAGGCGATAAAAGTAACTTATTTTGTATTAGTTATTAAATAGCAAATTAAAATGTCATTCGGAATCACTCGACTTTAAAGAAGGTTTCTTTGGAAGGAGAAAGTGAAATTTATGTTATTGAAGACGATGAAGCAAAGAACTACAATATAATAGAAAAACAAACTGTAAAGAGTAGTTTATTCTCTCCAAAACAGAGTGAACAATAATTAACAGGAGGAGGTTTTCATCAAAATACAACAATACTTAAAGGGGGTTAACATTAATAAAGATTATTCAAACACTCTAGCTTGCAAATTTATGACAATCTAGTTGAAATAATGAAATTGATTAATGGTCAAACTTACACTAAAAGTCCTGTAATTGTCAAGACCAAACCTTAAGGATTGAGACCTTAAAGTGCTGTCAACAAATAAATAAAAGTAAGTTAACGCTATCGACCTGTGAGTGGAAAGGTATAATCAATTACAGTGAGAGGGATCTAATTGTGATAAAATAATTTAATTTCTCAAATACCCATTTATAATTATTTAATCAATATCCAAAACAATGAGTGATATCATCAGAAGTTCTTAGTATAGAGCAATCTAAGTAATTCTTGCTTTCATTATCTTAAGAATGTTACAACTAATTAACAAGCCAATAATCCTGTTCTTTAGGGACAAGTAGTAAAACAAGTTATCTTGGAAACACGTAAAGATGAATAGACTGAATAATATGAATTGAGAATAGATAAACTGACTCAGGAGGTTGAGTAGTGGAAAAGACAGTGCTTTTTAAGTGAGTAGTAGCTTAATAAATTTACAACTCAATTGTAAGAAGTAATTAATGTCATTTACAAATGTAATAGATGGCCAGTCTTGAAGCTAGGTTAGCAGCTTTGTAATAAGAATATAAGAGCGTTGAAATTAAATATCGAGAAAAGTGTAATGAATTCGAGAAATTGAGAATTGAGTATAGTAAGCTTGATTCGGCCCTTATATCTTATTCTTTAACTCACATTGAAACCAAAAAATTTGAGGAAGCCATGCAGAGTAAACAGAATATCATATCTGACTTGCAAAGACAACTCCAAGATGCTAATGAGAGATTGTTGTAAATACCTAAATTGGAAGATTTGTTGAAAAACGAACATCGAAAAAACGAATAATTAGTTTAAGAGATTGATTAATGGAAATAAAAATATTAGGCTAACCAGTAAGACAAAGATAATTACATTAAATAATTAAAATATGAAAGTGAAGATATAAATTAAAAAAACAAAGAATTTTTAGAGGCTGAAATTCAGAAAGGCAATAATGATCTTTTGAATAAAGTTAAATTACTTTAAGCTTAAATTGAGTAACTTAAGTAAGAGGCCAAAGAGTTCTAAAATCTTTTATAATTGGAGCAGTCTGAAAATAATAAATTAAAATCTCAAGTGGATTTGTTGAATGCTCGTATTGTAGAATAAAATGAATAATTAAACATTGAGATTGGGTAAGTCAAGGAGAGGGATTTCAAATTAAATGATGCCGAAGTCAAAATCAAATAATTAGAAGATGATTTGCTAGAAATCAGAAGATTGGATTAAATTATTTAAGATTTGGAAACCAAAAATTAAAATCTAGTTAATGAGATAGATACATTACGTAATGAGGCAAATCAATATAAATTGGTTATATAATAATTAGAACATGATCTTGGTAAGTTAATGGAATTGGAAAATAAAGTGGCTATGTTATCTTCTGAAATTGAAAGATTGAAATAAATGATTGCATCTAAGAATGAATAAATTGATAGATTGAAACAACAAATTGATCAACTGAATAAAGCAATAGATGACTATAAGACTATAGAAGCAGAAAAACAAGTGCTTGAAAATAAATGTGCAATGTTAGCAACTGAAATTGAAAGAAAGAAGTTTTAGATTGAATAAAGGGATCTTAAAATAAATGAATTAAATAAATAAATTAATGAGCAATAATAATTTATTGATGAATTGAAGGAAAGACCTGATCTTTCAACACCTTTAGCTGAAGCGGAGAATTTAATTAAGTTATGGCAAGAAAAATATCAAACTTTAGAGTAAATTCAAAATAAATACACAATAATTGAATAAGAAAACTATTAATTGAAGAATTAATTACAAGCCTTATTGTAAGAGTTGGAGTAACTCAAGAAAGATTTGGAATAACGATCCAATCAATTAAATGAAGCAGAATCTACAATACATTTAATGGAATAGGATCTTGGTAAACTCAATTCCCTTCAAGAATAGATAAAAGCTTGGGAATCTAAGTACTAATTACAAACAGAACAATTTACTAAAATAAGAGAGCAATTAATTCAAAGTTAAGAAACCATTAAGAAAAGCGACAGAGATGAAATTTTGAATGAACTAAGAGAATTACAAGGAAGGTACCAATCTTTAGAAACATAAAATTAAGACCTAATTGAATAACTAGAATAATTGAGACAGTTGTATATTAAATGCCAAGCAGAATTAGAAGAGGCAATCAAATTAGAATCAAAAGTATACGATTTAGAAAACAAAGTTGCTATGCTATCAAGTGAAGTTGAAAGATTGAAATATAGAACAAATTCAAAAGACGAGGAATTAAAGAAATTATAAGCATAATCCAAAGATTTTGATAGTTTGAAGAATGACTTCTAATAGATGAACGGTGATTTATAAAATACTTAACATTCATTAGATGAATTGACTTAATAATTAGAGTAAGAATTGGATAAATTTAAATAACAAACAAAGGAATTGAATGAGGCATAATAAATGAGAGATCAGCTGGAAAATAAGATCGCTATGTTATCTACTGAAATCGAAAGATATAAATATAAGTTAAATAACAAATAAAATGAGACAGATGAATTAAAGAAATAAATCCTAGATCTATAATAACAAATAAGTCATCTGAGTTAAGTTGAGAATGACAATATCAAATTAAATCAAGAATGTGAAAAATTAGATTAAAAATATAATGATTAAGTTGAATTATTGCAACAAACTAAAAACGAGAGAAATGAATTACAATAAATTAAAAGTTAATTGGAATAAGAATTACAATTAATATAATCAGAATTGTAATCATCTTAGTAGAATTAAGAAATCAAAAATAAATAAATAAAACAATTAGAAAATGTGATTTAAGAGAAGGAATAAAATATATCATAACTTAAGAATTAAGAGCAAAAAATGTTTGAATATGAAACAAAACTAGCATTTCTGAGTCAAGAGATTGAAAGATAAACCAATCAATATAAAGTAAAATTAAGTGAATTAGCAGAATTACAATCGCAATTGGTTAATATCAATGAATTGTAAATTGCTATTTAAACTCTTGAAAGTGAAAAAACTAAACTCTCAGGAATAACTTAATAAAAAGAACATGAAACAAAATAATGGAAAAACAAAGTAGATGAATAATAAAAAGCTATGGAGAAATTCGAAGAGATGAAAGTATACAAATTAACCTATTTAATTTTAGTATCAAATGGAAAATAAAATTGCTATGTTATCAAGTGAAGTAGAAAGATTAAATTACAAATATAAAGTATTATTAGATGATAAGTCTAAATGGAATAAGAGAATGAAATTGCTTTTTGATGAATTAACTAAAGTAAGTATGTAAAATGAGATTTCATCGAATGTAAGAGATTGATTCTAAATAATTTAGGAAGCCTTCAATTGGAAACACAAGATTTTGGAATTGGTAGAGCTCCAATCTAAATTGACACAATAAGATGGCTCTATCCAACAATGTCTGTAAGAGACTGAACACATGAGATAGCAATTACAGGAATAAGATTTCTTGGATGCTAGATAAAAAATAAGATCATTATGAAATAAAATCATAAAATTATCATTCATTGTTGCTATTGTTTTTTATTATCTTTAAATTTCTATTTTTATTAATTTATTAGTTATTTTTCTCTTTTTTATTCTCTAATCTATCATTAACATTTTTTAACTATTTTTTCTTA